TACTAAACTCAGGGAAAGTTTGAGCGGTGGAGAGGAGGCGGATGCATGCAACTCGCAAGTCGACGATGTGATCTGCGTTCCGCTGCTCAAAAGGCTTACTTGCCAAATGCTCGTCTTCGGCGTCGGCTAGTGCCAAAGACTCCATCAACAACCTCGTCAGTTGTTCGTTGAACTCGAGGATGTTGTTCTTGAGCTTCAAACAGAAAGTGATCGCGTCGATGTAGGCAATCTGAATACTGAACGGTAGTGCTCGCAGCGGCTTCGTCCAAATCGGCAAGATGAGTCTGTCCTTCACCGGCGTGATGAGGTCGCTGACACTCAACTCCGTCACATCTGACAGAACCTGGAACGCTTTTTGGGTTGCGTCGCGCACACTCTTGTTCATATGCGAGAGATCACCCACAAGTTGTTGGCAGAGCTTCAGGGTAATGTTGTTGCCCTTGTCGAAATCTTCCTTGGTCGTCTTCTTGTGACAGCGTCGGATGAGGTCTTGAATGAGTCCTTCTGCTTGTATACGCGTCTTCGAGTCGAGATCGATAGGCATGTCCTTCATGACAAAGTTGAGTGCCCTAACAAGCTCGAAATGGCGGGGTACGAGCCATGATTGAGGAAGACCTAGTTGTTTGATCATGATCTCGATACCCCGAGTTCCGCCAGACTTCATGAACCAGTCATCGGCGTGACAGTTGTGGCAAAACGTACTTGACAGCTCATTGAAGAACACGAACTTGTCCAAGGAACTATCGTTGCCGAAAATTGCCTTCGTAGCGTCGCGCATTGTGATTATGGCTTGCTCAGCAGCGTCCCGCACTGCGCCATGTTCTGACGCCAGAGACTCACCAATAGCTTCAGAGATGACATCGCTCTCAATTACAACAGGCCCTTCTCCTGAATGCACGTCGAACGGCTTATTCTTGTGTTTCAGAGTGGCAAATTGCGTCCCAAGCTCCAGAAGCGTGAAGTGCTTTGCCAAGTTGCTTACCAGAGCCTCCGCTTCCGACTTCAGCTCCGGTACCGAAACAGCAAAGATACTCGCCTTCAGCAGTTTCTTGAGAGTCTCTTGTTCTACAGTCTTCTTGGTGATGGACTTTTCGCGCTCTGATGCGGTGAGTATGTCATGACCCACATCAAACTTCTTAGCACACAAGTCGTTCGCTTGCAGGCGTACTAGCTGGGCAAAGTCTTCTGGCAAGCTGTCGAAACCGACCAGCAGCTTCGTATGTGCGGTGATAAGGCGAAGTGCCTGTTGCTTGTGGAACGTGTCTGACTTTTTGGCTGCTGGAGTCTTTGGGATTTCGTGGAGCTTTGCGATGGCGGTGTCGATACCTATCGCTGCGGGGAAGGCGCGGTCTTTGGTAGATCCAATGAGTCGGATGTCAATGGACGACTGGTCATCAGAGTACGGTTTGAAATCCAGCTCTGGTGGGCCAGTGATAAACTTGCGATTGCGTCCGCCTAGCTTTCCAAGAATGCGCATCGTGGTATGCGCGTGAAAGTGGCTGTACGGGTTGGGCTTCAAATGTTCCCATAGTGCAGCCATCAGCTCGTCAATGACTGGGGCCATGATCGGGTCCAGATAGTCAGCGGTGAGATTATCCACGCAGAGCTCCAGAGTACGAAGACCTTGACCGACAAGATCCGAGCCAGCACGCAGAGCAACGACTAGTGGCCTCATCAAGTAACTGAGATGTGGCAACAAGTTACTGAGTCGTGCTGGCACTGTGAGAGATAGTTCAACGAAGAGATCCCTTTCAGCCGGCTTGCGCGCCGTCAAAAGAAGGTTGTTGAGCACGTCGAGTAGCATTTCCAACAGGGGAAGAATTTCTTTATACAGATGCTCGAATCTACCACCTCCAATACTTCTGAACAACGACCTAAGCAGGAGGAAGTAGTTCATAGGTTCTTCGGCAGTCGTGGATAACTGAATCGACTTCGTTATGATTTTGCTGACGTGTGGTAATAGCACTTGCTCGTTCTGAGCAGAGAAGAGCGTAACGGCCATGAAGGAGAGTTTGAAGAGGCGAAGGAGGATGGAGGACTTCTTCACATCCGCAGTGCCGACCTCTTCGATCCGGTCCATGAGAAATTGCAACAGCATTCCCGAAAAGCTGGGTGATGTGGCCTCGGAGGCGAGAAGGAACTGTGGAACGTGAAGTAACGCTGGGTGATCAAACATCATATCGTACAAATGGGGTATCTCGGATGAAAACACTTCGTGGAACGTGGCTGGATCGATGTGGTGGAAGACAGTCGCGAACGTCTCTAAAAGGTCCTTCTCTTCCTTGCCACTCGACATCATATGCTGGTTGCCCATGAAATCTCCCGGTGACAAGCCTTGTGTTTCAGGGGTCTTTTCAGTGCCGTAGTAACGGAACACCTTGGCACCTTCACGGAAAAGCTTGATAAGGACTTCCACCTCTTCTGCGTTGTAGCCAAACGACACTTCATGCCAGTTTGCAGACGCGTTGGTCGGATCAATTTCGTCCTTGATCTTGGCTGGATTGCAGGCTCTCAGCTGGTAGAAAAGATTCTTCAGTCCATGGAGTAGGTTCTTGAACAGGAATTTGTTGTCGGCAATAGGATCAGAGCTCCGGTCTCGTGGATTGGACGTCTTGATGGGTGTTGCGTTAGAAATGTCGATCTCGTCCCAATCCGGGGGGTTCTCCTGAACGGCCATGTGGTTCTCGTCGACCGCATCAATGGAGGGTTGGCTGTACTGAGCTGAGAGCTTCACAGCATTGTGGTATTGTCGGTTCATTGCTGCGAACTTGTCACCAATGGCATTCAGTATCATGATCAGGAAGTACCGGGCGTCTTCCTTAGGTTCCAATTTCGCGATACACTCAGCCATGTTCAGCAGAAGCTTTGCGCTCATGGTCTGGAAGCTGGTTCCGGGAAATGTGTCGTGCAAATTCTTCGTGTAAACCTCAACTGTGCGCCGGATCTGCTCTTTCGACAAAGATTCCCGCAGATGGTGGATCAAATCGGCCAGCATGCTGTATGCGAGCGGACGCATAGTCTCGTACACCGTCAGGCCATCGCCAATCAGTGTCTTCTCGTCCAGGAGCTCGTCAATCTTCTTGAGGAAGATTTTGCGGAAGTTGAAGTTGATGATATGCCTAATAGCAACCAGTAGCTCTTTCCGTGCACCAGACTTTTCGCGTGGACAGTCCTTGAGCAGTCGGACGACGATATCGGGAAGGGTCGGAAGGAAGTCGTTCAGCTGGTTTGCATACACCCTGAGTAGGTAAGCCAGAAAACTCATGGTCTTGACTTGAGCTGTTATGAAGTCGCCAAATGCCGCGCGGTTGCGAATGTCTTTGCTGACGCCAGTGAAGATTCTGCCCTGCGCCTTGGCCTCCTCATGTGCCTTCTCTTGTGGCTTCGCCTGAAGCAAAAGTACGTTCTTGATCAGGGGTACAAAAAGTTTCACGTTTTTGTTCACACAGTTCCTGTAGGCCTGGAATAGAGATACCACAATTATTGGACACTCTGCGAGGACCTTGAACGACTGCATTCCCTTGAGCAGCATGCGCGTCTGCTGGTGTTCCGATCCGATATCGCCTGCGGAACCAGATGTGAGAGCGGTCGCTGGCGAGCTTGGGCGTGGAGACTGGGAGAACTGGTGGTTGTTTGGGGTAGAAGGGACGCCTTGCGAGGCTGAAGCCGTCGTGTTGCTGTCGAAGGTGTCGTGCACCGCCTGCTCCATCGTCTCGAACATTTCCTGAATCAGATCCAAGAATGGCTGAACTCGGTCCGCAAGCGCCTTGGTTTGGTGGCGCTGAAAGTCCATGATGGTCTTCATACACAGAACCGCATTGTCCTCGTTCTCCAGCTTCACCAAACTCATGAGTTTATCGACAATCTTGGCCGCATGCGGTTCTATGGCTTCGGTCGGATTCATCGGAAGTCGGTGCAGGATCTCGAGGACACAGTTCCGTATGCGCTGTTTCTGAGTCAGAGGGCTGTAGAGTTGTCGCAAGTTGTGCGCTCACCTGTTCGGGCGACGTGGAAATGAAGACTGGGTTGCCATCTAGTATCTTGAGAAACACGGGGACGAGGTGATTCAAGAACGAGGCGTACTGCTGCCCTTGACAGTAGTTCTCGATGTTGTCTCGGATTTCAATCGCCTGGGTGCCTTTGACTCTGAGATCTGCGCCAGTCAGCTTATACTCTCTTGTGATGGTGGGCGCGCATATTGTAGGTACGCAGCGCGCGCAATGTATTGTGTACCAGAGTTTGGGTCGTCCAACTTGGAGGCCATAGCCTCGAAGTTGTGAGTCGCCATGGCGATGTTGCGTGCAGCCTATAGCCGCTCCTCCACCTTGTCGAAGTCCTCGTAGACTGCGCCCTGAAATGACGTAGCTATCCAGTATGTCGCGCGATCAATGTAGCGGAAGACAGGCGCATTTGTCTCGGTGGCACGCGGTGGTATGCGGAATCGGGTGCAGGTCGCTGCTGTGTCGAATATTAAATTTTGAAAAGGAAGGTGCAGGCGGGATGGCCTATATGGTCATTACAATCGTTATTGTGGAAGTGAGGCCTGGTGGTGGGGCGAAGGCGCGTCCCGAGTGCGGGTATGGTGTCGCGACTTGGAGTGATGGATGAGCTTCTGCAGAGCACTTAGCCTGGAGCTGACGAGCGAGGGAGGCACGCCGACCCCCAAAACTTAGCGCGTCGCTCTCATTGGTCGACGCCACCCCTGTGCGCCGTGCGGGTGGCACCTTCCAAACCATGTCCGGCATATATCCATCAGTCGTCTTTCCACAGCAAACTGCAGCCAAGTTTGGCAACCTGTTCTTGAAGTGTGCTTCTCATATGATCTCGGACGTGAAGGACATTTTTGAAGTGCGATCTGTCGCGCTACCATCTCTATAATCAATCCGCGAAACTCTTGCAGAGGCGCAACGGCAACGCATTTCGTCCAGTGCATGCTTCAGCGGACTAAGATCACGACAAATATTGCATTTAAAACTTCACACGTCCCATGGCACTTGACGCAAGACACAAAACACTGTATATCTATCCAGCTACCTACCGTCGCCTGACTCACTCTTCATAACCTCCTAGTCATACGCAGTCCTGCCGTCATCTTGTGAAACAGATAAACATCACCGTAATTATACAAGGCCACACATCCACGTCCGGTCTTCCGTCTAAGATAAGAAATGGAAAGGTTGACATTTACATTGTTGGAGAGGCGCACCATGGTCTTTGATGTAAAATGTGGGGGCGGGAACATGGTAATAACGAATATGCGCAGCCTGAGCCTCTGATCTCTACTTCTCATCGGGGTACATAGCCTCCTTGAGGGGAATACCGAGCTCCTCACGTATGGGCTCGAGCTCCTGGAGGTACTCTGCGTATTGACCCTTGTTCTCGACCTTGAACTTGATACCTGTGACGTATGTTAGTTATCAACGTCTCAGAGTTGATCGGATGACGAGGTATCGTGTTCCAGAGCTCATATGGCTGCCCTTTGCGTGGAAAGTTACAGGGCTGGTCTCGGGAATATAGCAGAAGACGTACCCTCGAAAACCCGGACAGCTGAGGGGAAGTCGTTCACACGCCTGGCAGCGCGAAGAGCGGCGGTGATCACGGTGGGTGAGGGAACGAGATCGTAGGCGAAGCAGTTGTTGAGGTTTCGCTGGCGATTGTCAGCCTATTGCCTTTGTTTGTGCCATCCCACAGTTGCCCAACACATATCGGGTGATACCGGTGGGGTCACATCGTGGAGACAACCAACGTACCTGAAGCTCGAAAACGTCGTTCACCTTCTCGAATTCCTTCTCATACCTGTATGGAAGAAACACAAGTCAGCGATGGCGCTCCTGATATCATCAATGGCGCTCAATGGCTGTCCATGATCTCCGCATGACTCCTGCCCGTCCAACTCTACAGCCCCTCCTCGGATTGGTCGTACCTGGCGGTGAATTCTTCGAATGTCTCCTCGGCATGCGCATCGCTCTTGCGGACGGCCGACTGCGAGAAAGCACGCTGAGTGTTCAACGCAACGGGGGTTGCTCGGTAGGCTGGGACTCGCACGCCCACTCGGCTGACCTTCGACGCGGCGCGGACGAAGGACATTTTGCGATTTGAAGAGCTACTAGCAAGCTACGGGAGGTGATTTCGGGGCTACTGGGCGTGCGTAGCCGGCAGTGTGTCGATGAGTAGTGGTGTCGGTGGTGCGAATTCGCGTGAGGTTACGAAAACGAAAGCTCAGGCGATCCGAGTTGCGTCCAAGCCAAGCCATCCTAAAAGTGGGTCGCACCCGTTCCTGAGACTGACCGCATAGTCGCATTGCCATACATGATCATATAACTTGTTGTTGATATGGAAGCATTCGCTATTTTTTTGACTTGTCTACATGCGCGATACGCTGCCTTTCCAAGTAACGCACGCCGTTGTCTTTGGCGGCTCTTAGAACAACGCTCTGCCTCCGGCTATTTGTACACAGGATTGATGAAGCTAGATAAGAAGGTAGCCAGGAGCGCAAGCATTAAAACGTTCTGGCTTTTGATCAGAAGTCCCTCACACTCTCAGGAGAGTCCTCAAAACTTTCATATCCTGTAATAGCCGCCAAACGGAACTGGTCCCTCTGATGCCGCTCGGACAGACATGACTGGGCTATCGCTGTCGTCATCCAGCTCTGAGCTGCCAGACAGATCATCGTTCCTGCCACCGATCTGTATCTCTTCATCTTCATCCGCCTCGTCATCCTGATCATCCTCGTCGTCCTCCGCATCCCCAATGTCAGCGTTCAGAAGAGCATCTGGCTGGACAGGATCTTCGGTCATGTCTTCCGGAACGTCGACATCGTCTGGCGTCTCTTCTTCGTCGCCATGGCTTTCTGTCTCGTCAGTTTCCTCCATCTTCTCGAAGGCGTAGCGCGGGTTTCTTGCAGCCCAGCGCACGTTGTGCATCACTTGGTGTTCCCTCCTCTTCTCGTGGTGTGTGTGACGGTCGTCGACTTCACTCTTGTACTGGGCTGCCATTTCCTTATCGTCCCATAACTCAGGCCAGTTGACGATACGCTGATACATGCTATCGTCCGGTTTTTCGCCGCCAATAATTGTGTTCATCTTGTCCTTCAGAATGACCGTTGCTTTGGCCCATGTGCCAACGTGATACCATCCTTGGAAGGTGGGTGCACAAGTTGCTCGGATGTCCTTCGTAGCCAAAATTTTCGCAATGAGGGGATCGGTAATATCGCAGAATTGGAATAGGTTGCCTGTTCGCGATACATTGACGCCATCAAATGTATGCTCAGTCTCCAACTCTTCCGGTGACATCTTCGCTAGCTTCAAGACATGCTGGTCGAAGACTGCGCGGTGCTTTGATGTGCCTGACTTGATGTAAGATAGGAAAGACACAGTCTGATATTTGCGATATTCCGGGTCTTTGCGGGGATCGACTCCCCAGCGGACAAGAGCTTCTCGCCAGGGCCCGCTTTCGAAGAAGAATCCGCAATAGATGGCTGCTTGCCGGAGCTTAGTTCGTTTGTCCCATCCCAGCCTGTTATAAAGTAGCTGCCGGGTCACTATGGGTCTCTGCAAGAGTAGAGTTCTGATATTAGCGATCAGTGATTGCATGTAGGGCGAAAGATCCCTCTCTGCCGGAAGACCGGGTCGGGGTCCGGTCGGTACATGTTCGTCCGTGGGTTTGACGATTGTGTATGCGTTGTAGGCCAGACTCCTCTGTATATTGACGACACCTTGATCGGTGTACTTGACGTTTGAGTTTTGCTGGAACCGATAGTTGAAGGCGATTGGCATCTGTATAAACTCTGGCGATGGCCCAACGCTTTTGGTCAGATCTGCACCCGCCCTAGTGTTGACGTTATACTTCAATAATTGTTCGTCTGTAAAAGAATTAGCAAACATCCGAGTATTCTGTGATTAGTCTTACATCGTTTCGGCAGGACGTGGTCTCGCAGACCAACCATGGTCTCGTTGTGAGAAGCAGCATACTGCAAATCGGGCATATCTGGACAGTCAGTGATGGGTTTCACACAGTTCAGAGCGGTGCTGGACTCACTCCGGAACCGATGAGTTTCATCTACCACTCCGGCAAGAGCAATCTTATACGTCGAGGCATTGTCTTGCAGGCTCCTGTAGATGATTGGTGCACCCACGTACGTCTTGTTGGTCAAAGGGGTGCTATTCGACGAGCCAGCGCCGCTACTGGCGATTTCATCTTTACTGAGGAAGGGTCCTGTGGTTCCACGCTTGCGTTTGCGTCCTGTCCGTTTTGGCACCGTGAGCTTGATGAGAAGGTTGTTCGTTCTCACAGGCGTGGACAGCAAACGCTTGGCAAAGGGGTCACCCGGGCGCAGCGAGACGGAGATGAGTTTCTTGAGCTCGTCGTCACCCTCCGCGTTGGTCGTGGTTTCCAATCGTGATCGCAGGCCCTGGGCAAGTGTTAGTTTCTCCCAAACAGGTAGGCACTGGTATTGCCGGCTGACCTTGCTTAGTTTGACAGGCCCACCTAATGAGGTAATGCCCTTGTCAACGTTTTTGATGATAGCGGGATGTTCGACAACGGAGACGGCACGTGACGGGATGGGCAACCAGGGCGCATGCTCATTCTCGGTCGACATGGCGTTGGTCTTATTGGACTAGACTACGGAGAGCTCCAAGCTGAGACTCTCTGGCGGCGGGATTCACGAGAGTTGTAGTCGTTCAAACGTTTCTGTCTACCTCGGCCGGACTACCTGGGTGTGCCCGTGGTGGGTGTTCGATAGACAAGTGATGAGACCCTGAGCCAGTGCGAGGCCCGTCGCAGCTCCTCTATAGAGACAGGGATCGATCTGGCGATGACTCTCCTGCAAAGTGCCAGATCAGATGATACGAGTCTGCCGCGGGCCCAGCAGCGCAATAGTCTCCCGTCTCTCGCGCAGTCGCTCCCTTGACACGCCCGCCGTGCTACTTCACACTCACAGCTATCCTGGATGTCGTGACGGCTGCGGCGGGGCTTTTGGCCCAAACGCACGGCCTCGCTACGGGACGGCTAGCGCGAATCACTCGACGCTGTCTGTCTGGCAGCAGCCCTGAGTTGTCAGTTGACGACCTGCTCCAACTTGTCCCTCCAGCTCCAGAATACACGCCTTTCCCTCAGCCAGAGCGCCCATACGTCACCAGCAACTTGCTAGGGTCCCAGCTGCCGTCTGACACCCCCTCGCGAAGCTGCTTCCTCCACCGACTCCCCGTGCACCATCCTAGACGGCTACACTAGCCACCATCTATTACCTCACGCGTCTCTCCTCCATGTCGGCCTGAGCCCTACGCTCTCCTGTGTCCGATTCCCCGTGTGTGCGCCTACCATCTAGTCTTCATTGGCGCTATCGGCTCGCGACCTGTCCCCAGACGCCTCGAGGCCAGCCGCCATCTCGGACGCCCGTTTCTGCAACACTCCGCTACGCTTGACCTGGCCGTGGGCGCATTCCGACAGCCATGAAGGGCTTTAGGCAGAGGGTCGTAAGTGCTTGTCCTCTCCACGGACCCTGGCAACACCACGCACCTCCCTACCCCTCTCTATGCGCGGAGGCTAACATGTATAGTCCGAACAGCTCTCTCGAAGCAAGGATAGCAAGTCATCTAAGAAGAAGGATTCTACCTCGGGGACTGCATCGCCGTCGCTGGGTGCTTCCAACTCCCCCTCGGGCTCTGCCCAGGCTACGCCTTCCTCGTCGCAGACGCAGCTCACCGATGCGCGAAGCAAGAGCCAGCCCGCCGCCGATGGCGCTTCGGCCAACATTGGGTCGCTACAACAGAACCCCCAGCCCTCGTCAGGTTCCCTCGCTGGTGGACCCCAATCTTTCGGCGGACAGGGCATGATGAGTCCCGGTGCTGCTGGTAACGCTGGCGCTGCAGGTCCAGGCACGCCCTCTAGGTTGGGGCAGCCCCTGGCACCCAGCGTCGTCATCAGCCCAAGCGCGCCTGTAAGTACCCGCGCATCAACCGACGTGTGTTTGGTAGGCTAACCAGTGCTATAGCATGTGCCTCCTCCTGGCGCTGCCGAGACGATGCCCGGTGATCTTGCGCCTCCAAAGGCGGGCCAGAAGTCGGGAATATTCGACCGTCTTCAAGCAACGCCCAAGGACAACATCGAGGGCATGCGAACCCCGAAGAGACAACACTCGTCGCGCTTCGACATCTCAGATCAGCGTCAGCGTGAATTGGAAAAGCTCCCCGGATTCCACGAGGTGCCCCCGAACAAGAGGGAGGAACTTTTCATGCAAAAGATCGACCAATGCAACATCATCTTCGACTTCAACGACGCTAGCGGAGACATGAAGTCAAAGGAGATCAAGCGCTTGGCTCTGCATGAGCTGCTCGACTATGTCGCCAACAACCGCCAAGTCATCACCGAGAAGATGTATCCACGCGTCGTAGAAATGTTCGCGAAGAACTTGTTCCGTCCTATTCCGCCCCCGATGAACCCCCAAGGCGAAGCCTTCGACCCAGAAGAAGATGAGCCGGTGCTGGAAGTGGCATGGCCGCACATTCAGGTCGTTTACGAATTCTTCCTTCGCTTCATCGAAAGCCAGGACTTCAACACGAACATTGCCAAAGCGTATATAGACCACAGCTTCGTGCTCAACGTAGGTACCCGACCTGTGTTTTGAACTCATTTAGCTAACATCAGCAGTTGCTCGAGCTATTCGACTCTGAAGACCCCCGGGAACGCGACTTCTTGAAGACTACACTCCATCGCATATACGGCAAATTCCTCAACCTCCGCTCCTACATCCGCCGATCCATCAACAATGTCTTCTTCCAATTCATCTACGAGACAGAGCGCTTCAACGGTATCGCCGAGCTTCTCGAGATTCTCGGGTCCATCATCAACGGCTTCGCTTTGCCGTTGAAGGAGGAGCACAAGTTGTTCCTTACGAGGGTACTCATTCCGCTCCACAAAGTCAAGAGTCTGAGCATGTACCATCCACAATTGGCGTATTGCATTGTCCAGTTCTTGGAAAAGGACGCGGCATTAACAGAAGAGGTAGGGACATACGCCAGATCCAATAGGCTAGGCTTACACGTTCAGGTTGTTTTGGGTCTTCTCCGATATTGGCCAAAGGTGAACAGTACCAAAGAAGTCATGTTCCTGAATGAAGTAGAGGACATCTTCGAGGTTATGGACCCCGCCGAGTTCGCAAAGGTTCAGGAGCCGTTGTTCAACCAGTTAGCCAAATCAGTGGCCAGTCCTCATTTCCAGGTGGCCGAGAGAGCGCTGTACTTCTGGAACAACGAGTACTTCTGTAATCTGGTTAGCGACAACGTCGAAGTCATCTTGCCTATCATGTTCGCGCCGCTGTATGAAAACTCAAAGGGTCACTGGAACCGGTACGTATATACACTCTGGTGGCACGGCTTATTTGCTGACTATCTGCCCAGAACCATCCACGGCATGGTGTACAATGCTATGAAGCTCTTCATGGAAGTAAACCCGCAACTTTTCGACGACTGTTCGCATGACTACGCTGAGTCACAAAACAACGCAACGCAAAGACAGCAAAGTCGACAAGATCGATGGGACAAACTCGCAAAGCTCGCCGAGTCACGTTCAAACGGCACTGTAGAGAAATCGGCAGTTGACCCGATGCGTATGGATGACTCGGAGTCACGTTTGGAGAACCTCCGTCTACAGGATGACGGAACAGCATCGAGAGAGAGGCGGCCAAAGGAATATGAGCGTCAAGGCAGCCAAACCTCGGTACGTTGATTCTTAAGTCCCTAGAACTCTGGATGAGCATTCTGTGTGGCCGAATCGATGTACTCTTAATTCTATCCCTAGACTCCTAGGTTTTCTTCCTTTTTTTCTCTCCAAGACTTGCATTTCGGTTCAGGTGGATCTGACGTGTTTGTGCTTTGCGTCTTTGTAGCGACGGCATCATACTTCGCAAGGGGAGCACCACGTTTCGTCCAGCGCTCGCCGCTCGGCTGGCCGACCACGTAGCAACAGTCGCCCCAATTCTTCTTCTGGCCATGTCGTCTCGTCGCGACCATCAGGTGGACGTGCAAGGTCGAATTCTGGAGGTACGATTACCCGGGTTGTTAGCTCTTGATTTCTTGGGTGCATCCATTCTCTTCTCTTTTTGCTGCCTTGCTTCACTGCCAGTCTACGGAGGGCTGATTGTAGTTGCGATATCATGTGGTTTATCTGGCATCAAGCGTCGCAGTTTCTTTGGTCCTTCCCAAAACAACATGGAATGTTTTCACTTGGGTGTTCCGGATGACGTTCCTTGTGGAAGACGACGAAATAGGGACTTTCTTCACTGATAGACGCGGAATATAAAGAATTTCTAAAGACTCGTGCCTGCTTGGAATATGAACTGTGAGCTGTGAACCATCATAGAGACTTCTTTCATGGATGAGTGACATTGTTATTTCGTTCGCCTTGTGGTACCCAGTGCTGAGAGGGTTGCAAGGGGACCCCATACTGTCGAAGCCATGCAGGCTAAAATTACTACGCGAATAGATACGGAGAGCCGCATAGGTTTCCTTGCCATCCGGTTTGGGAGGCCGCTAACTTCAAGGGGCGCCTCGGCTTTCGGAACGCCAAGATATCCGGTTCGATGACACGTTCTGTGAGGCTTTGCTTCTACTTTGCGACAAAGGCCAAAGTGTGGTTCGCGCTGAGTGAATAGCAGAGACGGTAGAAAACGTTTGCATTGTAAGACTTTACGTCAGTTAGGCCTAAGTGCACGCTATCTAGGAGCCAGCGTGGTAGTGCATGCGTGTAAGAACATGGTGAAGGTAGTCAGCGGCGGTCAGCAGCGATGCCAAAGTAAAAGGAGAGCAATACAGTAGCGCAGCCAATAGTAAACAAGTCAATGGCCTCGGTCTGCAATGTGTCGTAATTTGGACGTGCAACGGCGCGTTGGGCCCAGGTGCGGGAGAGGCGGAAGACCCCAGCAGTCATTTCCGACCTCCTTTCCGCGCGCAGCCAGAAAACATTGCTGGCCCTTCATAACCTTTTGCGCATCACCTCCATCTGGCTCGGTGTGAGATTTGCTTCTTCACATTTTCTCGTCACTCCTTTGTGCTTTGCACTTGCTAGGTCGCGGTTGCCTTCTCTTCCTCCACGTTTGTCTTGTTTACCTAGTCGCTTTACTAGGCTCAACCCTTTAAATCCCCACGTCCAGGGCTTCCACCGTTCCGAACAGAACAACACCAACCTCGACGAACCCCAGAATCATACTCGCACACAATGGGTGGCCCAGATTGGCTTGAAGTCGGCGCGCCGACGCTCGACCGTCCCTTTGGGCTGGCATTATGGCCTATTTTCGAGAAATGCTTTGAGCCCATCGCTGGCTACAAGCCCCAGGACTTCCGCTTCGTCCAAGGGGAGACGCCGCTCTCGACATTCAAGGTCTGCGTTATCACGCTGATCACATACTACATTATCATCTTCGGTGGACGGGAGCTCATGCGCAACCGTGAGCCCTTCAAGCTCAACTTTCTCTTCAAGGTCCACAACTTCTACCTCACGGCGATCAGCGGCACCTTACTTCTCCTTTTCGCCGAGCAATTGATCCCCATTGTCGTCAGGAAGGGTCTCTTCTTCGCTATCTGCGACCACCAGGGTGGATGGACCGACAAGCTCGTCATTTTGTACTACGTAAGTACTCATGCCGACGCACTCAGGATGCGGCTAACGTGTGCAGCTCAACTACCTCACCAAGTTCCTGGAGTTGATTGACACCTGCTTCCTGTTCTTGAAGAAGAAGCCATTGAGTATGTGCACCCACTCGCCATGGACGTCGCATCGCTAATAAGCCCAGCTTTCCTCCACACCTACCACCACGGCGCGACCGCTCTCCTCTGCTACACCCAGCTCATTGGTCACACTCCCGTGTCATGGCCCGTCATCACTCTCAATCTGGCTGTCCACGTTGTCATGTACTGGTACTACTTCCAGAGCGCGCGAGGCATCCGCATCTGGTGGAAGAAGTACATCACCGTTGGCCAGATTACTCAGTTCGTCCTCGACCTCGGTAAGTCTAAGTCCGGCCCATGTTCGATATCGCAGAGACTAATAATGTACAGGCTTCATCTACTTCGCCTCGTGGACTTACTTCACAAGCACCTACTGGCCACACATGCCCAACATGGGCAAGTGTGCTGGTGAGGAGTTTGCTGCCATCTCCGGCATCTGCATCATCACGTCGTACCTCTTCCTCTTCCTCGCCTTCTACTTCGCCACATACAAGAAGCCGGTGCCCAAGGGCCGCCGCAGGGCTACAAGCGCGTTGGTGGAGATGAAAGACGAGAAGGTGCCAACTGTTGGTGAAGCTCGCAGGCGTCTTTCGACCTCGCGTGTTGGTGTCACTAACGGTGTCGCTACAGGAGCTTCACCCAACGGCACACCCAATGGACGCGCGACCCGCAGCCGCAAGGCCTAAGTTCGATCGTTCGGAGGACATACGGAGTGCTGTGCGGCGGAAAGAGCTCTTTGAAGCATTGGATGACGCACAACGGCCTCTCGCCGTCGAAGCACTCGAACTACTCTGCGATAGCACCTGAGGTAGCACTCGATGCTCTTCAGGGCTAGCCAAATGTTACGGGCCAAGCACCGGTTCGGAACAAACTTCGTCAAGTGGAGCCACCTTTCGGCCGGGCTCCTACCAATTCGTTCTTGACTCGATATCAGCCTGGAGGGCTACAATTTCCATATCTTATTGTAATTGCTATGTTTGGGGCTCGATACTTTTGGTCCGGCCCCGTGTCACGATAAAAGCATGTAAGAGCATGGTTGGTCGGTTCGCGTTACGACAACTCTGGTGTTAGTCTTGGGCTTTGGTATGGGCGGTAGAGCACGTTCTAGAAAATATTCAATGACACATAATGCATAATCGTCAACGACTGTCCCATGTTCCATGTGTACTCTATCTTTTACATACGCTCGTGGGGGGTACACATGGCTAATGTAGGGAAGTCTACCGAGTTGCACGTGTAATGGGACGACTATTTCGGTTTTAATATTGCAGCCATCGCACTCCAGTCAGTGGAAGATAGTCCGCATCACTATTTCTGAATCCATGGCCATGTACTCTATGATGGGCGGTGACAGTCGAATACATGTAGCTGTCGACGGCCTCAAAAGCACTCGGGCAATTAGAAAAGGTCTGATTGTGCTTATAGCAACAAGCATCCAGTGTTGAGCTCGTGAGATAGGAGAAGAAGGGTAAGGTGCACCGGAGAACGTGTTGTTACGTTACTCGGGCCGGCTGCAGCCCCACATGTGTACCGGTCTCCTGCCGTCAGCCTTACTTGGATCGTCGCGACGACTCCAAACTCATAGTAACGTGTTCGAATGTTCCGATGCAACCTTGGGACGCCCGGTACTTCGAGGCTTGCTACAGATGACCAGTCAATGAATTTAGTACTTGCGGTATCTGCGTCGGCGTCACTTCGCTCGGGGTAAAGGCCGAAAAGCATGGTGGCGTGGCTTGGGTGGATTGTTCGTGACATGTGATAGGATTTTGACATGTGAGAGGCGATCGCCAATTTGCTGCCCGGCGTCGTTTCGCGCTGTCATCCCCCTCCAACCCTGCCTTCGGATCCACGATGCGATAACCGACAATTCTACGCCTCTCCATCGATACTCACAGCTGCGCTACCATGCTGTGCCTCTTCTGAGACTTGCATCCCCTGTAACGACATCATCGCGTCCATCAATTCGCACTCGGCCTCCGATTACGCTTCCGCGGAGCAGAATACCCCTTCGAGGCGCACCCTCCGCATCATAATTGCGCATTGCGACGGCTTTCACGGACATAGTGCGGCACCAAACAACTGTTCGGAGAGTCGCAGAGACGTAGCCCGGCGTGGTTCACGCATAGATGAACGTGGGGTAGTCGGGTTGATTAGAAACGTCACGGTCCTGCGAGAATCCTACCATGGAGCAGGAACGACCACTACAGCGTGCCCCGCCGCCCGCATACACGCAACACGAGCCCGAATCGCTTCACCTCCCTTCTGTTCCGACGCATATTCCAAGCCATGTGCCGGATCATGGGAGGCTGCCCGGCATCAAGTCGCTAGACCTGCCGGACACAAAAGCGCGTCATACTCCACACAACTCAATAGAATACAGCCCGCGATCGCAGTACGATAGATCGCAATGGGGCATGCTGCCAGTCCCGAACAATGCGACATTTCAACGAGCGCCTGAGGGTCTACCACGTGAAGACATCGGAAGTCCGATGGATACGGCGAGCGTACGCAGCACGCAGGATGACAACGCGGGTAGACGGGAAACGAGTGTCAGTATGGATGATCCGGATGTCAGGCTGGCAGCAGAGGCGTTGAGCGGATTGGGGAACCCGGGTATGTTACGGCGCTGTTGTGGTTACTATTTATGACGCGAGATGTATGCTGACTGACCATCGCAGACTTCGTTCGCTCGCCGACGGCACGATCCCTCACGCTTTCTGCCCGAGAATCCACAACAGAACCCCCGGAACCACTCCTCTCTCTGATTACGTCGAACCACCCGTGGCTTGGAAATGGTATCAATGGCTCCATCTCAGCCTACAACACGACCAAGGGCTATACACCACGTCTGGTCCAATACGGTGCTGAGCTCATTGAGCGCAACATTGGATCGCCCATGGTCAACACTGTATCATCTGTGGGTAGGCGGACAGGCATGGAGAAAAGCCTGCGCCGATATCTAGGAGACAGACGACCCAGCGACCTCGAGCAGGGAGATGGCGAGAGTTCAAGAAGCAAGAGACAAAGGATTGCGAGCCCAGCAGACGATGCCATGGACGTGGATGATGCTCTTGCAGCAGCGTCACGGACAAGAGGCGGTTCACAGTCCTCATACACCGAGTCGCTTCCTGCCTACGATGATCAGCGCTCTCCAAATTACGAGGAAGCGGTCATCTCTGGAGAGATAACGTCGCACAAGTCGCCAGAACAGCGCTCAAACACTCCGCAGGATCGTCGCGTCAACTGGTCTACACAGCTCATCATGACAACCTCCGGTCTCGGTGTAGCTCTATCAGAAACATCATTGCGATCGTTGAAGCTGTGCCTTGGTCTTCTTCGCGGCGCAACAACACACATCGATTCCGTCATGCGCGCGCTGAAGCTCGTCCTCGAAGAATACGAAGCTGCCCTCCGCAACCAAAGGCAGTCGGGCGGCTTCGCTACCCAGGATGAAAAGAACCAACTCAACGGCACCATGGCGCAAATGGGACTCGTCGACACGGACAAAGACGATCAGGTCCGCCAAATTGCTGACCGCATCAAGGTCCTCTCATCGGATATCTGGCAAACTCTCCAATCCGTCGTGCAGTCCGTGTCCCGCTACACCGGTGGTGCGCTCCCGCAGAACGCACAGACGGTCGTTCGAACGCAACTGCTCTCCGTACCCCAGCGATGGCAGCTCGCTGGCCGCAACGCGAACAACGAACACGCGGGCGGTGATGAGGTCAGAGGCGCGAACCGCATGCTGGCGTTTGCGAAAGAGGGACTGGACATGATGGGCCAGATCACTACTGTCGTTGACGGCACGGTACAAAGCGCCGAGAGCTGGCTCGCGCGCATTGGACGGAGGCCACAGGGCGAGTCGAGCAGCAGCGGTCAGGGACAAGAGCAGAGAGAGAAGACACCGCTTGCGCTTGAGGCGGGTGTGCCGACGGGTGAGAAGAGGTAGGTAGAGGATGGCTTGTGCATCTCTCTAGAGGGGTATGGCATGATACAGAGTGAAAGCAAGAAAAGACAAAGGCACATGAAATGGAATGGGAGAGAAGAAGAACTACTTTGGCACTACGACCACTACTACTACAACAACAACAACAACAACATACCCAAACATAATTTCCTATGTCGGTTTCTCTTTCTTTGGAAAACGTATAGCAAGGCGTCATGATGGAAGAGAAATGGGGTTGGTGTGTGTGAGGGCTTCGATCGTTTGTTCGCAATGTCCACGACGTCTTCTTCATTTTGAGCGAAAACGAAAATCTGTATTACTCAATGTTGTTATTACTCCTACAAATCCATACCTACTTCGATGCGTTTGTGACCTTCGTTCCAAAGATCTTACTGGGTGGTGATGGCATGGTGATTGTCAACATATTGCACATCAAGCGAAAGAGATTTAAATAGAGGGAACACTGCTTTGTTGTAGACAGTTTGAAAAAGAGTAATGTCTGTTGCTGATGTGTCTGTCACCTTGCATCGCAGCGGCTGTACTCATGTTCCCAAGTAAATTTACGAAAGATATCAGAATATAATACCTAGATTTACTTCTGCCCCTCTTAATCACAGATTGATCTTCGGGATAAACTGGAAACCTGGCTTGCGCGTATGTTACAGCCCGAGTATCGTGTTAGCGTACACGTAATAGTATGAGACTGGGTGTGACACCGAGAACGTGTGTAGTTTGGAGTGAGGTTCCTTTATACGGTCATGAAAGTGATCATCTATAAATAGCAGGTTGCTCAAGAAAGAACGCACTCTCTGTTGAATTGTTTCCAGGTTCGCAGACTTGACATGATTAGAGGTACTCCGCAACAGTGAAGACAATTGAGTCAGATTGATAAATGAAGGTAATACAAGTCTATGGAAGCCAAAGTCTCAGATAATGAAAAGGATGGCCGTTGACTGTGCTCCTTGTATGCTACAAGCTACCGTGGCTGTGTTGTGTCACGTTCATCCGGTTCTACTATGTTAAGGACTAGATGAAGACGGTCGGGCTTTCGGTGGCTTACCATAATAAGTCGATTGGCAGAGTATGGCTATTTTCCATTCTGTGAGGTTGTGTTGCTTGAGGTGATAGTATTCGATGTTGAGTCTCCCGATGTAGTGGAGTTGCCAGACGTATTGGGGGCTGCGGACGTCTCCGGTTGATGAGAAGGCTGCTTTGTCTCTCCTTGGCCAGGTGATGGTGCGCTAGAGACCTGGAAAGGAGTGAAGCGAATAGGTGGGAAAGACATGTTCGATGCGTGTGTCAAATTTTGATATAACTCGGCAGTTGTATGTTCAGTGCTAGTGCATTGATAGAATTGATGGTAGATTGTGGTTTTGATAGAGCTTAGCCAGAATCGCCATTGACACCGGCTTATATATGAAGCAATTGCAGTTCCTGCATCCCAGAATAACTTATCGTCGCGAGCGAGACGAGCAACGCGATACGCAAATGCGATGTTTCGACTCACCGGCGGTGAGTTTGCTCAGCACACCTCGGCAAGCTCCTGGAAGCTGCTCATAATAAGTCTGCCTTGACCGTGGCTGTAACTCTTCGATAACAGAGCCAATGACAGCATGACTGTGCGAGTACTTAAGAAACCTTCACATGACTTCGCGTCGTGTTGCTCGCAATGGGATGACAAATGACGTAGGACAGCTTGGCTTCTCGTGTCGAATACCCAGGCGCTCTGTGATAACTGGCCAGAGTCATGTTTATAGGCTCCGAGCTGAAACTGAGAGTAACGAAGTGGTGCTGTTCGTTCGTGTTGGTCAAAGACATTACTGGCCATGCAGATGCAGTTTCAGTTTGGCTGCAAGCCGCGATGCTACGATACTAACATTAGTGTCGTGTAGATTCTGGGTCTGTGAGCATTTTTCAATCTGTCTACACATGTGCGATAACAGTAGTATGAATTGCACCGATCTTCTAGGCGGAACCCTCAACTCAAAGTGTGTCTGAAATCAGACTGGACATGCAATGCTCATAGCGAAAAGAACAGTGTCTCTGTGTACCTTCTGCACTAGTGGGCTCTTTTTGTACATCATGGCTCCGGCTTGCTTCATGATGTGAGACTACATGATGATATGTGGTGGCTGCGATCATACCACCCTGCGATTATGTACCGATTCTCGAGTCTTACGGATGACGATCTCAAAAGTAACCGGTGCTAAATTTAGTTGGTGCGGCTGGAGTCCAAAGCTTCAAGCCGGAAAAAGCGACAACAAAGACGATGATTATTGATCAAGATAAGAACGAGGTCGATGAGTCGAAATGAGTCGCGGTATGCAGTGCAACCATCGCGACGCCCTTGCTGCAGATCAGGGCGTTGAGATGCACCGAAGACTCGTGAATGAGTCTAGAATGGGCGAGAATGAGTCGCGAATAAAGGGCGCGGTCGGCTTGCCGAAGACAGATGCCGGAAGTCCGCAGCAGAACACCAACCTCAAGACGGGCTAACGGACGCAGTGAGCGCGCCCTGAATTCGTTATTGGAACGTCTAAAATATGGGGAATCCGACGACACAAGAGATGGTCAACTCCCTTACCGCTTGTATAGCCAAGTCCGACTAGCGTCCCTTCTTTTGCTACAGAGCGGGGTCGAAGCTGGAAAGGGTTGATGCAGGTGGTTGTCGGGCCGTTGGCGTCGAAGCAACGGCGGAATCAACATGACTCGATGCCAAGCCGGTGAAGCTGCTGGCTGACAAACGCTGGGTGGACATGGGTGGAGCCAAAAGCAGGCACGCAATCACACCCAGCGGAGACAAGCGACTCTACGAGATTGTTCCCGTTTGATCCTCCTCAACAACAGCATGCCAGCGCCAATCGTCAAGATGTTTGCAGGCGACGTGTTGGGTGCTTCACTCGCAGAAGTACCGCGGTCGACGTCAGAGGCCTGCACGGAGCCATGCTCGGACTGCCGCGCGCTGAGCCGCATAGTGTTTGCAGCCTTGCGTGTGCCCAGAGATCTCATCGTCATGTCTGGCGGAATTCAACCGACGTGCATAGAATGTGACTGGTACCGTCGATCATGGTGCGACGGAGTGACTCGATTGCGCATTTGATACGCTGCCTCCGTGCGAAGCTGTCCGCTGAAGAATGCCCGCGCGTCAAACTCACTCACCGTCCTGCTCCCGCGGATTGATAGTTGCGACAATAAGAGATCTGCCTAGCCGCACGCGGTGCAGCACCTCAGGATTGCCCACCGTCTTTAACCCTTTTGGACCTCGAGACCCACTCGGTGCTCTTATCTCCGTCGTGTACTGCTTTCTTATTTTATTTAGCCGTTGCGACAGCCCTCGCGCCCTTTGCTGCTCTCCTGTTTTGTTTTTCGAGATATCCATACGTTCCTTATAATTCGCTTCTTTTCCGTGCCTGCAGTTGGGTGAGACATCGCCGCTGCCTGTACCGGCTCGCTACCGTTTAATTCGAACCCAGGGTGCGCCCTGTACCGCCGCCACAGCCATGGACAACGCCAGCGTACAGCATACGCAGATCCAAGAGCACACCGAGGGCACTACTTTTGAGGCTATTCATCCCAATCGCAACCACATAAACCGCGACGACGCCAGCATAAGGACTGCATCCGTCACCGACAGCACCGCGCGCAACTCGGCGCACAACGAAAAGGGTTTTAGCAATGTCACGGGTGGGGTCAACATCCAACGCGCCGAGGCCGACTTTGCGGAACTTTCAAAGGAACTCTCGCGTACCAGCAACATCTCGCGCCGATTGAGTCGCGTACAGAGCAAGCAGAGTCGCAAAGATCAGGCCACCACAGATGTAGAGAAGGCCACTGTCGAAGGTTCAGAATCGTCCGACGAGCCCTTCGATCTCGAGGCGACCCTCCGCGGTGGTAAAGATGAGGAAGAGGCAGCTGGCATCAAATCGAAGCGCATTGGCGTTGTGTGGGACGGTCTCACCGTCAGCGGAATTGGTACGACTACTTTGTGCATGCTACACGCAAAACACACGCTAACCCTCACACAGGTGGTGTGAAGAACTACGTCAAAACTTTCCCCGACGCTTTCGTGTCTTTTTTCAACGTCTTCGAAACCGCTGCCAGCATTCTCGGGCTTGGCAAGAAGGGCAAGGAGTTCGACATTCTGAAGGACTTCAAGGGCGTCGTCAAGCCTGGTGAGATGGTGCTCGTGCTAGGAAAGCCCGGCAGCGGTTGTACCACGTTCCTCAAGGTCATCAGCAACCAGCGATACGGGTACACCAAGGTGGACGGAAACGTTTTGTACGGCCCATTCGACGCCGACTTCTTCGAGAAGAGATACAGAGGAGAGGCAGTGTACTGTGAGGAGGATGAGAACCACCACCCCACGCTCACTGTCGGACAAACGCTGGATTTCGCACTCGAGACCAAGGTACCGGGAAAGCGCCCGGCCGGACTCTCAAGACAAGATTTCAAGGAGAAGGTCATCGACCTCATGCTCAAGATGTTCAATATTGAGCACACCCGCAACACCATCGTCGGTAACCCATTCGTCCGAGGTGTCAGCGGAGGAGAGAGGAAGCGAGTCTCCATCGCCGAAACCATGATCACTGGTGCTTCCCTGATGAGCTGGGACAACTCGACAAGAGGATTGGATGCTTCGACTGCTGTCGATTATGCGCGTTCGCTTAGGGTGCTGACAAACATCTACAAGACGACAACCTTTGTGTCTCTTTACCAGGCTTCCGAGAACATCTACAAGTGCTTCGACAAGGTCATGGTCATCGATAGCGGTCGACAAGTCTACTTCGGACCTGCTCAGGAAGCTCGCGCCTACTTCGAGGGTCTCGGGTTCAAGGAGAAGCCCCGCCAAACCACCCCCGACTATCTCACCGGATGCACCGATCCTTTCGAGCGCGAGTTCAAGCCCGGTATGAGCGAGAAGGACGTTCCCTCAACGCCCGAAGCGCTAGCTGAAGCCTTCAGTCGATCCGAATCTGCGGCTAGGCTCGATGCTGAGATGGTAGCATACAAAGCACAGATGGACCAGGAGAAGCACGTCTACGATGACTTCCAGTTGGCTGTCAAGGAGTCCAAACGCCACGCACCGCAGAAGTCTGTCTACTCCATTCCGTTTTACCTCCAGGTCTGGGCTCTGGCGAAGCGTCAGTTCTTGCTCAAATGGCAGGACAAGTTTGCCCTGGTTGTTTCTTGGATCACCTCTATTTCTATCGCTATCATTACTGGTACCGTCTGGCTCAATCTCCCTGATACCTCTGAAGGCGCCTTCACTCGTGGCGGTGTTCTCTTCATTGCTCTCCTCTTCAACGCTTTCCAGGCTTTCTCCGAATTGGCATCCACTATGTTAGGTAGACCGATCATCAACAAACATCGCGCCTTTACATTCCATCGACCGTCAGCTCTTTGGATAGCCCAGATAGGAGTCGATCTGTTGTTCGCATCTGTGCAGATTCTGGTCTTCTCCATCATCGTGTACTTCATGACGAACCTGGTGCGAGATGCCGGAGCCTTCTTTACATTCGCCTTGGTCATCATTACTGGATACCTTGCCATGACATTGTTCTTCCGAACAGTGGGATGTCTCTGCCCCGATTTCGACGTCGCGATTCGTCTGGCTGCTACAATCATAACATTGTTCGTACTCACCTCTGGTTATCTCATCCAGTGGCAGTCCGAACAAGTCTGGCTTCGATGGATTTTCTACATCAATGCTTTAGGACTGGGTTTCTCTGCACTGATGATGAACGAATTCAGTCGTCTGGATTTGACCTGTGCCGGCACCTCTTTGATCCCTGCTGGAGACGGATACAATGACCTTAACGCCCAGGTTTGTACTCTGCCTGGCAGTGAAGCTGGTAACCCCATCGTTTCTGGCACCAACTACATCAAGACCAGCTTCTCTTGGGATCCCTCAGACCTCTGGCTGCACTACGGTATCATGGTCGTCCTCATTGTCGGATTCCTTCTCGCGAACGCTTTCCTCGGAGAATTCGTCAAGTGGGGTGCTGGTGGCCGTACAGTCACCTTCTTTGTGAAAGAGAACAAAGAACTCAAGGAGCTGAACGCCAAGCTGCAAGAAAAGCGTGACAAACGTAACCGAAAAGAAGATAGTAGCGACCAGAACTCGGATCTCAACATTGCTTCTAAAGCTGTCCTCACATGGGAAGACCTTTGCTACGACGTACCAGTCCCTAGCGGAGAGCTCCGCCTGCTCAACAACATCTACGGATACGTCAAGCCTGGACAATTGACAGCGCTCATGGGCGCTTCGGGTGCTGGAAAAACCACACTCCTCGATGTGCTAGCCAACCGCAAGAACATCGGTGTTATCACTGGTGACAAGCTCGTCGATGGCAAGGTCCCTGGCGTTGCTTTCCAGCGTGGAACTGCCTACGCCGAACAACTCGACGTACACGAGCCTGCTACAACCGTCCGCGAGGCACTCCGCTTCTCCGCCGACCTGAGACAACCGTTTGAGACGCCCCAGGCTGAGAAGTATGCCTATGTTGAGGAGGTCATTGCCTTGTTGGAAATGGAGGACATCGCAGACGCCATCATTGGAGACCCTGAGAGTGGTCTAGCCGTCGAACAACGCAAGCGTGTGACCATTGGTGTCGAGCTCGCCGCCAAGCCTGAGCTCCTCCTTTTCCTGGACGAGCCTACCTCTGGTCTCGACTCTCAGAGTGCGTTCAACATCGTCCGTTTCCTTCGCAAGCTCGCTGCCGCTGGCCAAGCCATTCTGTGCACCATTCATCAGCCCAACTCCGCTCTTTTCGAAAACTTTGACCGATTGCTCCTCCTCCAGAGGGGTGGCCAATGTGTTTACTTCGGTGACATTGGCAAGGACGCACATGTTCTGCTTGACTACTTCCATCGCCACGGTGCTGACTGCCCTTCTGATGCCAACCCTGCCGAGTGGATGCTAGATGCCGTCGGTGCTGGTTCCGCTCCTCGCATTGGTGACCGCGATTGGGCTGATGTATGGAAGGACTCAGAGGAATTCGCGGAAGTCAAGCGCCACATTAGTCAGGTCAAGGAGGAGCGCATGGCTGCTGTTGGTTCTGCCGAGCCAGTCGAGCAAAAAGAGTTCGCTACACCAATGTCTTACCAGATCAAGCAAGTTGTTAGGCGCCAAAACTTGTCTTTCTGGCGCACTCCCAATTACGGCTTCACTCGCCTCTTCAACCACGTCATCATCGCTTTACTCACAGGTCTTATGTACCTCCAGCTGGACGACTCCCGAGCATCTCTGCAATACCGCGTGTTCATTATTTTCCAGGTTACGGTTCTGCCAGCCCTCATTCTCGCTCAAGTTGAACCCAAATACGCTGTCCAGCGTATGATCTCTTTCCGTGAGCAGATGTCCAAAGCATACAAAACATTCCCATTCGCCTTGTCTATGGTCCTTGCGGAGATGCCATACAGTGTGCTTTGCGCCGTTTTCTTCTTCCTTCCTCTTTACTATATCCCGGGCTTGAACTCTGATAGCTCGCGCGCCGGATATCAGTTCCTGATTGTACTCATCACTGAGGTTTTCTCCGTCACCTTGGGTCAGGCGATTGCTGCCTTGACACCAACTCCCTTCATTGCTTCCTACGTCAACCCTTTCATCATCGTAAGTCAACATCAATACCCTCTTGAAGTATGAGCTAATTTTACTTTCAGATCATCTTCGCTCTCTTCTGCGGTGTCACCATCCCCAAGCCCTCAATTCCCAAGTTCTGGCGTGTATGGCTCTATGAGCTTAACCCTTTCACGCGCCTCATCGGCGGCATGATTGTCACCGAACTCCATGACCTCAAAGTCGAATGTACGTCTGGCGAGTACAACCAGTTCAGCCCCCCACAAGGTCAGGACTGTGGGACGTACATGAGCGACTTCTTCTCCAGTGGTGCGCCCGGATACCTCCTCGATAACGCCACCGACGTCTGCAATTACTGCGCCTACAAGGTCGGCGATGAGTTCTATCGACCTCTTGGATACGAGTTCAGCAATAGATGGAGAGACTTGGGTATTTTTGCTGCTTTCATTGCCAGCAACTTGATTATTCTTTTCGTTGCGGCGAAGTACCTCAACTTCAACCGCAGATAAGCGGCCAGCTAGTGGGTCGACATATGTCACTACTCAGTGAGTACCACACCACGGGTACACGACGTCCCATATTGCATTCGGTGCTATACGATCCGCACCTCTGTGTGGAAGCGAGCGCCCATTCTGTTTGGGAACTGCCGTACATAATCCCGCCGCAGCTGCGGCTGCATAGACGTCACTCCGCACTTCAAAGTACTGTACGTTTCTTGCGACATCGCATTGTCTCGTTTAAAAGTACTCTCTAGACTTGCAGTTTGGATATCCCATTGGGCGGCGTTTGTTTCACCAACAGCACTGAGCTCGCATGGCATCTTCACATATACATAATCCTAGTCTCATCAAATCATCACTGTACAATTATCGTTCAAAACATCTATGCTGCGTGAACTCATGGAGCTTTGGTGCCACATCATGAATCAATCGTCTTTGTTGAATTGTTGGCGCGCGCCTGTCTCATATTATTGCTTCACGACTGCTCCTTCCAGTACCCTCTTTGACACATTGTCTCGCATTGTTCCGTGATTGCCGCTTCTCTTCTAAACTCTTTCATGCTCTTAGCTAATTACTTTGTCTTTTTTACACTCTTGCAGCTTGCCGTGTAACTATATCGACATTCATTTTGCTGGTGCATCATCGCACTATCTTGTTATGGCACCAGCGGCGCGATACCGCGAGACATCGCGGACAATCACTACCACTGCGAAAGATACTATACAGCCCACCACTAATCCGAAAGACACGCAGGACGACTACTATAGTGCCTCAATATTCAACTGGCCGTCTACAACACCTAGTTTAAAGGCCGGGCTTCGCTTCCCGATCCCGCAGATTCAGGGAATCATACCTGGCATGCGTCGCACGCTGCAGGCCGATTCCGCTCCACGATCACTCCCACATTCACCCAGATCTTCATATGACGTAGCGGGACTGAAATTGTCGAAGAGCGCAACAACAATACCGACAACGCCGATCGCAGATAAACAGCCATCACCGCACCGCTCATCATACCCCCGCGTCTCCCCTCCTGGTATCCTCTATCCAGACGCTATTGTGCCACATGGCGCGACACAGTACTCGAACCCGCTACAAGATCCAAACGCTATCACACACAACGAACTTCCCTATCATCCGAGCATCATGGGCCGCGTAGACTATGAACTAGCGTATTTACCTCCGGGTTACAAAATACTCTTTGTCGGTACAGTAGCCATACTCGCACTGGGTGTTATGTGGACGGTGATGACTTGCGCCATCAGTATGAGAAGGGGTTCGAAAGCAGGGAGTGCAGAAAGGAAGGGAAAGAAGGATGTCGGAAACAATGGAGAGGAGAGGAGGCCGATTGACAAGGTGAGCAAGTACGCATATCGGCATGGAAGTCAAAGCGGAATACCTCTGGATGAGGGTCTGGATTCAGCGATGAACAGTGACAGCGCTGTCACATCAGCGGCCCAGATTCCGTTTTCATACATCGGCGACAACGGGAATGTGGTTGAGAGTATCGAGATGAAGTATAGACCGCAACACACCACCAGTCACAACCGCCCAAGGAGTCGACCAATACGGTCAGAAGGCCACGATCGCACGTACACAACACACCGCCGTTTCTCGTCTTCACCTTCAGCGGGCCCACGGTTCGGCCTTACACTAGCACCGACACTCTCGGTTCCTCCTTCACCAACGCCATCTACACCCAGCAACAAATCGCCGATAAACTTCTTCCTTGACCTTCATCCCAAGGGCCTTCTCAGCCCTGACGCGAGCGCAACACTAGTAAAGCGAAGTTCCCTAGAATGGCAAGCCGGACGAGCCGCCTTCTTCGCTCCTACCACCACGACTTCGAATCCAGCGTCTGGCTCGGCATCCCCTACGTTGAGTTATACCGCGGGCAACAGCAATGAGACGTTTGAACTTGATCTCTCCGATATGGAGGCTTTGGAAGCTGGTACAGCACCTCTCACAGGACGACTTCACTCTGGTTCTTCGTCTCCTAGCAACAGAGGCAGCAGGTTGATCCGGAAGAGCAAGAGTTTTGTTGACGAAGGTGTCGGGATGATGGAAGGTGTTGTTGATCGTGTTGCTGCCAAAATAGCGAGGTGGACGGATGATGATGGTGGAGATGAGGCCTTGTTGTTGCCTGTTGCGCAAAGACATTGAATGGGTGCGCTGCAGTCTGATTGTTACGAAAACGAAAGATGACAAAACCCGAAGGCGATGTAGACTTCTAGCTTCTTCTTGACTGTGCAGCTTGTAGTTATTTGGTTAGTAGATTAGTGTGAGCGTGCAGTGGTAAATTAAAATGCACCATATCGGTACTTGAGCAGCTGAACGGTGGGTCATGTAAAGGACGGATTTGAATTATAGCCGTGCGAGCGCTGTGCTTCGGAGCAAATGGTATCATCCAAGCAAGCCCTTATCCTGAAACGCCAATAGTAATGCCTCGTATGCTCTCTCATAAATAGCTCAAACATCAAAGTCCTTTCTGAGAATCTCTTGAATTTCCAAATCCATCTTCTTCTCAATCATGTGCGCGGCTACGAGATTGCCGACCTTGTTGACGAGCTGTTCCCGGACGTCGTCAAGGTCTGGTGCTGTGTATGTTCCCTCTTGTTGCTCCCTCTGTTTCCGCTCTCTCATGCTTTTCGGTACCAGGGCTGGGAAGGAACCTACGAGTACTGCAAGTAGTATCTCGGTGTCGTGCCTCGTGCTCTCGTCGGCGAGCTTTTTAGAGAGGAAGTCATCGTTGTACATCTTAATGTTCGGTAAGATGAGTCCTCTCAGTGCGTCACCGGCGCCTAGGACGAGGAGCAAAGCTTGTAGAGCGCCAAAGTGTGTTCCAACTGATTTGTCGGGATCCATAAACTGCTTCAAGCAAGTGCGTGCAATCCGTGCCTTGAGGCCTTGATTCGACGACGCGTGCTTCCGGCAAATATCTTTGAGGAGATGGGCGGCAAGCGTTCGCAGGTAGAATGCGTCTTGGGTAGCGCGGTTGTGGTCGGGCATGGTTCCGTTCAGCGTTTCTGAAGAGGCGTTAGATGGCGCAGGGTTTGCTGGTCCTACTTTGCCGCCTGTGCAGCACGTAAGGATGGGCGGTACCATGTATGCCACGTAGGGATCGAGGTAGATGGCCTGATTCTTCAGCAACGCCTCTGCGGCACGCATCATCTGTGTCAAGATGAACAGGTTCTTCATGTTGTGTGTGACCTTTTCAGCTATGAAGCTGAGAAGGTAGGTCGTCAGCTGATGAATGCCCGGCTCTGTCGAGATGGCAGCAAGTGCCGCGTTCTGCCATTCGATGTTCGTTTCGTCGATGAGGGCGCCCGACAGCTTGTTGAAAAGCTCTTGCGATTCTTTGGATAGCACGTGTTTGACGAGCGGCTTGACGTTCACGTTGTCCAAGCCATTAGCCGCGGCCAAGTGAGGATTCGCGTTGGGTCCCTTGGGCAAGAGATCGCCGGTATTCGTGTTGGGGTTCTGAGGTATCGAAGGCTGGACTCCCTCGACAGCGAGCCAGTGCGCTGTGAAGGTGATTTCCCGTGGCACCTTGGGCAGCGGGGCGTTGATGAGCTTCTCGAAATCGACCTCCTCATCTTCGACATAGTACAAGGGCTGACCGGGCCCCAGCGAAGCCTCGCCGAAGCGCAGCGGTCGGGTAGATTCGTAACCGTAGAGGGGCTCCACATTCAACACCTTCAGGGCATTGGATATGTCCTGTGTGCTCAGTGTGGTCCGCTTCCCGTGTCGCATGAACTTGAGGGCCTCCTCTAGCACTTGTGCCAAGCGGAAGTCGACATCGCGTGCCAGCTCTTCGACGACATTATCGGCAAGTGAGGCGATGCCCACCGATTCGGCCACGTCTCGTACATTGTCGGGGTTCCAGACCGAAGACATGTTGGCGGGGCTGAGTGCGATGTGTGAGGGATGGGGTGGAACTGGTGGGGCTGTCGGGTGCGGGCGGGCTTAATCTAATGAAGCGCAATGGGTGAAGAGAGCCGATGGGCGGGCGGAGAGGGTATCACCAGCCGGGTGACGCAGAGACGGACAATGTGATTGCTAGCCCTACGACCCAGTGAAGCACATTTCGGACGCGCGCATGCGACGGTAGTGAACAGCGCCGTGGAGTAACCGAGATGGTCGCTTCTGAATTTGGAATGCGTCTTGAAGCGGCTGACGTAGGCGACTGGCGAGAGTGCGAGACTGAGGGGGATTGGCGTAGAGTGAGTGTGCCAGAAAGGAAGTCGCGATGCTCCAGGGCTCGCGTTGGGCTTGGCGCGCCGTTACGTCCGAGCGCGCCGGACTTGTTGTCTGTGACTCGTCTCACCCTCACCACTTCACGCGTCCGAACCTCGCAGGCTTTCACACCGATTGACAACCTCGCCAAAGCTGCATCTATCCATTTCGACAACTCTATATCAAGACTGAAAAGTGAGGCTATGTCGACTGGTCAGCCGTTTGCTTCACTTGAGCAGAGACAAACATCGTCTCCTCATCACCTACTGATCGTCTCAAGTCCTAGCACGGGAATGCGTGCAGCTCGACGAGCCAATTAAAGACTGTAGCAGCTGAGTGCGAGGCGTCTAGTCGTGCCTACGAGCAAATAGAAGTAGTCGTGTATCCATCTTGACATCATGGCTTCGTAGACCGCCATTTCAAAACTCCTACATTTGGAGGGAAAGCAATCTTCCCAGGCACCTTGCACAGGGGGATGTACGGCTGCGGAGCATCTTCCCCGCCGCCTGCTTAGTTGCAAGCAGTACTCAAGCCTGGAAGTTGCACAATCAGTCGACTGTCGCTCGCCTTGCTCTCACCCGTCGACACGTTGTTTACCGCCGTTGAAAATGGCATCTTCTACACCCCAGATCCAGCTTTCCTCCGCCCGGGGAAGACTCTTGTTCGCCGCTTGTGCACTCTGTCTGCCAATCCAGCATTCCATTCCAGCATAACACTTTAAAATTAGTCCTTCCTGACGCCACCCGTCTATCCGCGCGGACGGGCCGCTACGATTCTGATTGTCTTTGCCTGGCTTTTTGGGTCTGCCAACTAGACATACGCCCCTGTACGCCACTAAATGGTCTCTTGTGGTATTTATTGGGAGTGTAGGAAAACCTTGCCTCGGACTATTTAATATCGAGACTACGTTAGTGATTTGTCCTCCAGGACAGTCTTCCACTCTTTCCCACATACAGCTCTTTGACTACCAATTTCCAATCCCCTGTCTGAAACCATCAATACTATTGCTCTCCAATCGTTCCTTAACTACCCCACGGACACAATGGGCATCACTACGAGATCTTCAGTGGACGACGCCTTTGATCTGGTTAACGCACGCTCGGTTCATGTCCCATTGGGCTTATCAATGTCTACGCCGCCGCAGGACCGCTCAAGAGATGACCCACCATCACCTCCACCCCAGCCCCCGCCCAGCCCAGCACACTGGAACCGTATTGTCCCGGTAAGTCCTAGTATAAACCGCATCGTATGATCTAGCTAACCCCACACCAAGCTTGACCTTCTTGCACCACTGGAGATCTGAAATGTGAGGCAACGTGTAGTCTCGGTGAGTGCGAAACGCTCCCACAGACTTCTACCGAATCTGACTCTGCTGAGTAGAAGTAAAATTGCTTTTCTTCGTAAAGCAGCCACCAGGTTACATTCGACCGCGGCATCGGCATTTCCTCGTTTGATCCTCTCTTAGTGGTCTGACCTTGCATGCTCATGTATCTTGCCAAGTATCGCTCTTCTCATGCGACAAGCGCTGGAGCGAACAGAGCGCTGGAGTTTTTTTCTCGAATGTATGTTAATAGGTCAAACAAGGGTCTTGGTGGTGTTTGGATGTTCTTGCCGGTCGCTAGGCGCGAAGCTCTCGGAGCTGAGCTGCTGTCGTTACACTCCGTGTGAGACGTTTCCTGTCTAATTGAAAAGCCTCACACTTTCGATGCTATCGTTGTTCTTCGATCGACTATGTTGTACAACTTGCCAGGATGTCAAAAGAACCTTCAACTCCGCCTAACGACCCATGAGTATTGCCAGCATTTACCATAAGCACCGAGAACTTATTCTAGTTATACCGAATCTAGACCTGTACAGTCTCAGGTCCCGATAGCGATGCCCCATAATTGCTGCTGGTGCCCAGGTGGTACCTTCCAGCTCGCTTGACCCACTAGCGCGCACTAGTCGCGTCAGGGTTTTCGGCTTTTCCAGATTCGCAGAATCCAGGCCTGCGGCTCCACTCGACTTCAGCTGACAGTACGTATACGTACATCACACCCACGTACGTCAACATTCAAAAATTAACTCAAAATACGGTTCCCTTCACCTGGCTGGGCAAGACTTCAGCCGAGGCACAAGAGAAACTGGACACTGAGCTTGACCGCAAAGCTCCTGTAAGACTTGGCACGGGATCGACAGTCCCACTATCCGCCACCAGCGGCTACCCACCTAACAGCACCTGCCACTAAACGGCTGAGGGGACAAACACTCTCTCACCACCCTGCTGCTGACCACAGCTTCTGACCGCCGCCCCTCCTTCCTTCTCGTGCAGACCACCCAGCATGGCTGCCGACAAGCAAGGTACAGAGGAACAGATCCTCCAATGGTACTCGAACCTCTACAGCCGCCGGGTTGACCTGGTAGGCGACTTCGCAGGCAGTGAGCGCTTTCTCGTACACGGCGAATCACTCTTGCTTCAGTGCTTTAGCGACCCACACATCGATTTCGATCCTGGATACCAATTGCTGCACGCATCGTACGCCGTTGAGAAATTTCTACAGGGTCTTGTCTCTCGAAGCTGCAACTTCCACATTGCTTTCTTCGACGAACATCAAGATCTTTGCGTACCCCAGGATACGTCTCCAGCCATAAGCGAGAAGTACCTGCTTGCACGAGCAGCTATCATCCGTCATCTTAAGGTCAACCTACCAGATGCTGTCCCGGATATCGAGATCAATACCTTCTCGTCAGTATCATCCAATGGCTTCGCGGAATATCTGCGTGCTACAGACATTTACTTCGTCTTGTGTCACGACGGAGCTTCCTTCACTGATATCCGCAAGAGGTTGATCCTACAGAAGGACCTTGATACCCCACAGGGCGAAAACAAGGATGTACAGGAGCGCCAACAAGAGTACAAGACTTCTTTCCGCACATTCATATACAGTATGATGCAGCGGGGCTATAGTGCGGCGCTTGTGAATGGACTGGAATGGGCCGATACCAAAGTCGTCACAACTGTTCTGGAGCATGCACGCTCTATGACGCTTGATGTCTCATCAGCAGTACGTAACTACCACAGTCCACATCCCTGCAAACTTTGCACTTCCTAGCTTTTTGTCCTGGAAAGTTCCCTCTTTGATAGCTTCGTCTGCTAATAACTTTGATCAGGAGCCCCATACAAACAAGAGATTGACCGATGTCGTTGATCTGTCGCACATGCGCGGCTTTCTGCAGACGATCAGGACTTCTTGCGATCAACTCCTAACTGAGCGCGAATACCTGACAGTACTGGTAGCTTCAAAGCTCGCAGCTTCGCATGCCGATCTGTCGGCTGTGTTATTGCAACATGCAGCATTGCTCTCGGAGCTTCCACTATCTGATCGTATCATCAAGCAGCGCGATATTCCGGATGACGTCAAATCTTTCATTTTGGACTTCTGCCACGAGGCGCGCAAGTTTATTGGTAGTCCTGCATGGGCTGAGGCCTTCAAAGGCCATCCGGACTGCGATTTGGCGGATCTCATCGACGGACGACTTCTTGCACAGTGCGCGCGTAATCCTGCCACAGAGCCCAGCGAGCATCTCCAAACCCTGCTCAAGGCCACAGCAGCTTTGGACGTCCACGGTCTGCCATCTCAGCCAAAGTCTATTTCCACAACAAGCACGGACACTGCTACGACCAAAAACAGCGATGAAGAGACAACGACGTACAAAGTTTTGCCCTTCTCGAACGACATTTTCGACCCTCATCTGGCGCCTATCAAACTAGATGTGTCAAAGTCAGGCGGCAAGGCAGACCCGACTACTGCTAACATCTTCCGCGAAGTTACGCATTGGCATAACCAGAGATCATTGAACCAGAAAACAAAGGTCGTTGTCGAGAAAGACCCGAAGATAGCGAAGAAGGCTCTCCGCCGAAACCAGTTCTTCATGGCCGAGATGACTTCATACGCAGCCAGTCTAACAAATGCCGTTGGCAAGGTACTAGATCCAGAAACCATCACTCTCGGCGACAAGTCGAAAGCAGGCCAAGCGAAATCTATGACACCGACTCAGACGATCGAGAATAAGCGACCGAAGCAAGTGTCTAGACAGAGCACTAAAAACATTAACGCATCAAAGGAGGCCATGCTTGCCAACATTGCCGCAAGCTCGAAACGTAAAGATGAGGAGAACGCGAAACAATGGTACCAAGCCTGGACCGTCTCATGTGCGGGCCTTGAGAAGCAGGTCGACTTGGCTTCCAGATATAACAAAGCCAGGCAATACCTAGCCGACCGCAATGAGGCTCAGCGCCAGGTCATTGGTCCCGATGTGCGGATGTACATGCTGAACGTTCTCCTGGAGATGTGGGTGCGGTTCTGCCGCGATGGCGCCAAAGAGAAGGGTCTTTATGTCGCTGCGCTTCTTTTCGATACTGCTCGGACTATTTGCAACTACGAGACTGTCACCAAGACGATTGCAAAGTGTCTGGCTCTAACGATTGAGCGCTTGAAGCTACCCACGCTGCAAGTGCCGACAGAACAAGGCGATCGGAAGCTGCCCTTCAAGTTTGTAAGTTGACTAATAGCTTCATACCCCGCAATAGCTAACAGCATCATAGGTTCTGGAAGAGACCGTTGTATCGGATCTAGCCTTGACCCTCTCTCCAGAGGAGTTTCAACTTCTCCATTGCGGACCGTACTTCGACCGTACGATCGATTCGGCGCCAGATTCCCGTGTACCGTTCGAACCAGATGCGTGGCAGCGACGCGTGCTGGACGAAATTGATGCTCGCCGTAGTCTGCTCGTCATTGCCCCAACTTCAGCGGGTAAGACATTCATCTCGTTCTACGCCATGAAGCAGGTTCTCGAGGCGAACAACGATGATGTTCTTGTATATGTTGCTCCTACCAAAGCTTTGGTCAACCAAATCGCCGCTGAGATCCAAGCACGATTCTCGAAGAACTACAAGTACAGCCAGTCTGTTTGGGGTATTCACACACGAGACTACCGGATCAACAACCCCACAGGATGTCAGATTCTTGTAACAGTTCCCCACATCCTCCAGATAATGCTGTTGGCCCCTAGCAACGCGAAGAGCTGGTCCGAACGAGTGAAGTGGATTATCTTCGATGAAGTCCACTGTATCGGCCAAGCTGAAGACGGTCTCGTCTGGGAACAGCTGCTACTCATGGCTCCCTGCCCCATCATCGCGCTCTCGGCAACCATCGGCAACGCAGAATCTTTCAATGACTGGCTATCCGCTAGTCAAAAAGCCGCTGGCAACGAATTGGTCATGGTACAACACCCACACAGATATTCTGACCTCCGAAAGTTTGTATACACGCCGCCCACCGAACGCAACGCAGCTAGCTATTTGCCGCTTCCGAGCAACCGCTCATTTGCCCAGCTTGGATTGGACGAGCATACAGACTTCGCTTTCCTGCATCCTGTAGCCAGCTTGATCAATCGCACACGCGGATTGCCCAGCGACTTGTCCCTTGAAGCCCGAGACTGCCTTACCCTATGGCAGAGCATGACCAAGTACCAGACGGCCGAGTACCCGGTAGACAAGTCTCTGGATCCCTCTTCAATACTCCCAACAGTTATTAAGAAGGCAGACATAATCAACTGGCAGGCTGGCCTCAAGAAGCTTCTGACTGCATGGATGGCCGATGACAAGTCGCCTTTTGCTGAAGTTCGGAAGGATCTCAGCAGCTCCATATCTGGTTTACAAGAGCATCAAGTCAGTGAGGACGCTGGAAACGACGCTGTAGACAACGAGGGACAACTCGATGAGTTGGGCATGGAGATCAGCCACGACATCTCAAGCATACTACCTTTGCTCGCTGATCTGCAGCAACAAGACGCACTTCCGGGTATCATATTCAACTACGATCGTGCGATTTGCGAGAAGATGTGCCAAACGCTCATGAAGCAACTTGTCGATGCCGAAGTCGCCTGGAAGGAGACTAGCCCGAAATGGAAGATCAAGCTGCAGCAGTGGGAGGACTGGAAGAAGGAGGTATGTTTATCTCCTTAACCAATAATTACACGTGTAAAACTAACTCTCTTCTAGGTTGCGAGACGAGAAAAGCAAGGCCTTCGCGGAGATGCCTCGAAGGGCATGACCAAACAGGACCAGATGAAAGAAGCCGCCAACGTGGAAGTCAGCGCCTTCGCTTCGTTTGATCCAAACAAGCCTCTCGATGGATTCCACTTTGCGGATCACAAGAAGTTGTCACAAGAGGAATTCGCTGTACACGCGAAGGAGCTACGTTATCGTGGGGTCGATGAATGGCTTATTGACGGCCTAATGCGCGGTATCGGTGTCCATCACGCTGGTATGAACCGAAAGTACAGGTACTGCGTCGAGATGTTATTCCGAAAGGGTTACCTTCGCGTTGTAATCGCAACAGGTACACTTGCTCTTGGTATCAACATGCCCTGTAAGACTGTCGTCTTCTCAGGCGACTCTGTCTTTTTGACGGCGCTCAACTTCCGTCAAGCCGCTGGTCGCGCAGGTCGTCGAGGTTTCGATATGCTTGGAAATGTCGTTTTCCACGGAGTGTCTCTCAGCAAGATCCACAAACTCATCAGCTCCCGGTTGCCTGATCTCAACGGACATTTCCCCATCACGACAACACTGGTACTTCGTTTGTTCACGTTGTTGAACTCATCCGAGAATGCGCCGTTCGCTGTCCGATGCGTCAACTCCCTGCTCTCACAGCCACGACTCTACCTCGGCGGCGAGGATGCGAAGATGACAGTCCTCCATCATCTGCGTTTTTCAATTGAGTACCTGCGGAGACAGCATCTTCTGGATGCGCAAGGTGTACCTTTGAACTTTGCAGGTGCTGTATCGCATCTGTACTTTACCGAGAACTCATCCTTTGCCTTCCACGCTTTGCTGAAGGATGGATACTTCCACGAGCTTTGCGCCAAGATCGACACGAACAAAGAAGTGGTATTACGCGAACTCATGCTCACTATGTCGCATTTGTTTGGCCGACGTCACTGTCGACAGGCGGACGAAGAATACGTACGAGAGATCGTGAAGAAGAGCCCATCGCTTGTGTTCCTGCCTTCAATGCCAGAGCACGCTGCGAATGTGTTGCGTCGCCACAACAAGACTACGCTCGACATCTTCACAGCCTATGTGCGCAGCTTCGTCGACCAACATGTTCAGGAGCCGGACAACACGCTCCCATTGACAGATGTCACCGTCGGTGCTGAAGCCTCTCCGAAGTCAGAGAGCCATAACGTGAAGGCTCGTTCCACTTTTGTTGCTCTTTCGGGATACGATGACAAGTTCGAGTCCATCCACGATCTGTGCAGCACTAGCCGTTCTGGCGTCTTCCTTGAAGAGGCTGTCGTACCTCACGTCGGTCTCTACCCTGAAGATTCCGATCTTCCGCTGAACGCTTACCTTTACGATTTCTTCATGCACGGTGACGTCAACGCTCTTATCACGGCCAATAAGATTCGTCGTGGAGATGTATGGTTCGTACTGAACGACCTCAGTATGACGCTCGCCACGATTACTACAAGTTTGTCGAACTTCTTGGGTCTTGCAACAGAGTCCGATCTCGACTTCATCGACGTCCGAGGTGGTGGTGACGACGAGGAAGAGAACCGGGAAGACAAAATGCTACCGAGCGACACTGCGACAGAGGCCAGTTCAGCTACCACTGCTTCTACGAGTAAAGTCCCTCCCAAGCAGGAACTGGCGTTCCAACCCAAGAAGAAGGCCAAGAAGAAGGTTGAAGAATCGTGGGAGGATGAGATGGGTAGCTCTTCTAGCGAATCGGAAGTAGAGGAGAGCTGGGATGCGGAGGACGATGACGACAAGGAACCACCCGCTTGGGAGGAAGGCGAGGGCTTGTTGAATGTACTGAAGGCGTTCAAAGCTCTGAAAGAAGACTTTGACACAAAGTTCAAGGCTATGTGGGCTTAAATGCATCAGCGTATAGGCCTGTTTTACAGTGTCAATATCATAGACATTGGAGTCCATAACGAAGTAGATGTTGAATCAAAGAACTCCCATTATCGTATAGCTTCCTCAATTCATAAGTTCATGCCATAACTCTCAACCCACTTGAATCATGGCTGCGGTGGCGCAAACTTGACTACATTCTTCAGTAAATCTGTGCCTGTCTTCTCACAAGCTAGCAGCAAGCTGTCTATACCTGGAATGCGTTCCAATTCATCTTGCGTTTGTGGCCTTGCTCTAATGATCAGATCTAACGTGTGGTCTGTTACGATGGGTGGAGCCATTGCGGGTCGAGCGGGCAGTTTCCGCATGACCAATTTGCTCAAGGCCAAAAGCTTCGACCGAGTGATACGCGATCCGGGTGATAGTGGTGGGTTTTGTGTTGAAGTTGGCGCTGAGGCTGAAGCTGGGCTTTTGCTCGTGACGCCAAGGGCGTGGTTCAGGGATGGTTGCTGCGTGAACTTTGCTTTCGATTTGGAAGATGTCGTTGTATTCATTGAGCGTTCTTCCGATGTTTTGCTAGCTAGTGTGGTACGAGGTAAGATTGTACTGGGATTTTGTAACAGTTCTCCCCCAAGCTGAGTAGCCTTTTCCACGTCGCTCTTCACCGGGCTCTCCGCGCGTTTGCGCTTGGTGCCGGCAGTTGTTCGCCGACGGCTAGGGCTGCCAAAGTCCAGAGATGGGAGGGTATCGTCGGAGTCGTAAGAGGATGTACTTCCATCAGAATCCTTGCTGTGATCCACATCGAGTTTTGTCTCTGCCATGGTAAATGAAAGGCCAGTGCGTAGTTGAGGTGTCCGGGGAGGCGCAGTTTCAAAAGCGGGAGAGGAGTCTTCAGAGCTATCATTTGTAGCATTTCGTTGAACCTTTGTACGACGGGGTGTATGCGGCGGCTGGATTTCAAGCTTGGATGGCTCCACGGTCCCAGCCGGTTGCTCGATGCCGTTCGCGGCAAGGAAAAGCGAGATAACCTCGAGCCAGTCGTTGCCGTACTTTGATTGCTGGATCTTTCCGATACCCTTTACAGCAAGCAAGCCTTCAGTGTCGCAAGGCTGTGCGCGTGCAATGGCCTCTAGCAAGGTGTCGGTTATAATGCGAGAAGGCTGTACCTTTCCACCTTCTGCTAGTGATGCCCGCCGAACAGCTAATTCTTCAAACAATGCCTGTGAAACATGATCCAAACTTGACCCACAACTCTTTGCAGGTGCGGCTTTCTTCGGTGCTTTGGATTTTGTTGCCGTCGTGCCGCTCTTCGCAGGTTTGACACCAAAGAAGGCTTCGGTCGTGATGGTCGTGCCGTCTCCGACGTCCAACAGTATCGGATCGTCCCTAGATGCCTTGCCGCTCGGGTACTTCTCAGCATGGATAGGTAACGGTGGAGTGGGCCTCATGGCAAGTCTCTTCGCATTCATACATTTGTAAAGCATGAAGCCCGCGTACGCATCTCCAGCCGCGTAGTTGATTTGATCCTTCGACAGGGGCTTGCTCCAGTTGCTTGTCCTCACGTCGCCCTTGTACAGAGGCAGCCCAAGTTGCTCCTCTACTTGATGTGCCAAGCTCACCAGCTTGACTGACACCAACTCCGGCTTTGCAGGGCCGAACTTTACGAGGCGGTAGAGATGGCTGGATTCGACGGCACCTTTGGGCCTGAGCCCGAAGAAACGACTCAATCTCGAGAAATCTGCCTTTAGCACATTAACACCTACTTTGCCAATCTTGGGATCCTCGAGAATGCGTTTTAGTGTCGGCGCGATTATGTCTTCGCTCGTCTTCCCTGGGTGCAGTCCGATGTGAAACAACGCGATCTTATCTTCAGAAGCGAGTTGGATCAGTCCGATTTTGTTCTGCAAATCGTCTCTTTTCCAATCATTCCAAGGCCACTCCATGTCAAAACCAATGACAGGCTCCTCAAGGAACTGCTTTGCATATACCTCGGACTGCGCTTTGTTCTTGCTATACAGAACTTCAACTTCCTTGCCTTCAGGGCCTCGGTAGAGGCGATGACTCCACCATTGTTTTGGTGCCGCTTGGGTGGATGAAAAACCGTATGACTGAAGTGACGAGGCTTTAGATTTCTGTGGTTGTATGCAGTACGCGAGTGGCCAATGCGGTTTCGGTGTTTTGGCGGGGTGTTTTGGAGCCACGACGGCGTGGCTGGAACTTGCCATCGATGTTATGCAGTTCCAATGAATGTATCGTCCAGACCCAAGTCGCCGGCGAGCAATGATGTTAGGCATAGGAGATACCTAAGAGGTATCCTTGATCGCGCGACATCAACCTAACGTGGCGATCGGCGCTAAGAGAAGCACAGACTGTCTTGACTTCTACGCGCGTTCACGTGTGGCATCCCTAGCGTGTTTTGCCAGAGCCTTTCGCCCAGCTGTCCGAGGCCGCTCCATGTTGGTCCCATCAATGCTACGTCAGATCTTCGTCTGGAACAGTCGTCGGAATCTGAAAGATGCATACACTCGCCTCTTTGCTCCAGTTTCGGAGGTTGACACCTTGGCGAAACCCTGACAGGTCTGCAGACGTTCCCCACTGCGTCATTACGGCGGGGATGTAGCCTGTGAACCGTTGCGAAATCCGCTACTCCAAACGGATCTCACGACCTGCAGTCTCAATTTCGACTCCAGATATCTGTGGATCATCTTTGCAGGACTAAGCGCTCGGTTTGGGGGCGCATTGGAGACCCGGGCAGCGAAATATCGCCCGAACGCCGTCAAGTAGATGAGTGACGAAGGACTGGCCACACAGTAGACGTTTTTTCAGCATGATCAATGCCTCTTACAACCTCTTACGATGCCTCAGCGAATTGTCGAAAGGTACGATCCTGGGTTCGCTTTAGGCATTGTGGGCATGACGGTTGCCAAGATGTGACAGGTAAGTTTTCACGCAGTTGCCGTTTCACAGTCACATGGAACACTCTACGTAAGCACGATACCTACCATCGGCGCTAGATGCACTGCGACAGAATATGCCACGGCTTCAGCGACTATTCCTTGGGGCCGCGTACTTCGATAACGACTGTATATGTACGCTGGTAGCCTCATTTCGGGCCGCCTCCAAAAAAACCACTTTTATTCTATTCTGTATGCAAAGTTCTCCACGCACTTGTTTATAAACATATCTCCTCATGATGCATTTCATATCGTCAGTATTGGTCGCTGGATTAGTCGGTCTTGCGCAGGCGCAAGTACCGTCAGGTTTCACACCTCAGGCTACCACCAAACTTGAAGTTATCTTCAATTCGACCATGGTCAACACGGCCGGGCAGCAATTAGCAAAAGCCTGTAAGTTCCCGAATATATCGAATCAGGATAAAGTCCTGACTTGTCTAGCTGCCGCGACACAACCACAACTTGCACTATCCAGCGCTATGATAGATGCAAGCCAGACATATATGTTTGTGATGCTCGATCTCGATGTTCCACCAGCGGACGGCAGCACAGAACGCCGCACACTACTACACTGCATGAACACTGGATTCAAAGCAACGAAACAACAACTCATGGGCGCTGCCACTCTGCTCGCATCGTCGGAAAAGGGCCCCGCCCCATACATCCCTCCAGGCCCTCCAACGACCGACACAGTCGCGCATCGATACGTAGAACTGCTCTTTCCGCAACCTGCCAGTCTGAACATACAGGCATCGGCATTCGCTGGGGTACAAGATAGGATAGGTTTCGACATTGAATTGTTCATGTCGCAGAACGGTGTGAGTGCGCCGCTCGCGGCAAACTTCTTCCGTGTTGATGGGAGAATAAGTGCAACGGCTAGTGGAACTGGAGCAGCAACAGCAGCGTCGGGCGCTGGTGCTACGCCTACGGGAACACCTCAGCCCTTCACGGGTGCAGCTGGCGAGATCAGTGTACCGTATGGGACGGCTGGTTTACTCAGCGGTGTAGCTCTTTTCGCGGTGCTCGTATTATAGTTTACTATGTATCTTGAACGAATGTTACGACTTTATGAACTGGATCTCGAAGCTCAAAACCTGTCTGCATGACGTAACGAAATCGAGCAAGCCCGTGGCTCTATACAGCGTCTCGGATTTTGTCTTGGTGCATAACGTTCTAAAGTTCAACTGTACTATCGGTGATCAAAAGGCCTGATAGCCACGCATACAATCATGCATCGAGTTCTATATGCACTGCTCTAGTTCATCGCCTTATCAGCATCCACGATACTGTAGTACTTGCTACTGCTTCTAACGCGCATGCGCTTGCCGTACTTGATCATTACGAGAAATACTGCCGATGCAGCCATTCCAACGAAGGCTGCGGATATGAAACAGTTCTGGTAGCCCAAGTCTGTCAGCCATGGTGTAATGCTACGTTTTGTTAGCGCGTCAATCTGTAAGAGCTTTGAGAAACTCACCCGTAGCTGATTGCAAATGACATTGTGTTGCGAATCAAGATAACTGTGACGATCGCGTCGCCACTTATGTCGTGGTAGCTGTCGATCATATAGTTTACGCTGAGGGTGACGCCGACTGATGAAGTAAAAGCGACACAACCCATAGCAAAGACGAGTCCGAACCAGTGTACGCCATGGGCAGCACCAACACCCCAGAGTATCAAGAATGCCGGCACCATCACCAGACATACTGCAAATGGCCATAACCGATGTTCAGCCTCCATGACGCCGTTGTTTCGGCGCGCTAGTTTGATGGTCAGCCAGTCGCTGAACCGTCCTGAGAAGAGTGCTCCGACGATGACTCCAATGCAGCAAGATACGTAACTGAGACCGACCATGGAAGGCTTGAAGTTGTATCCGGGACCGCCGAGGATAATCGAGGCAGTGGCGTTCAAGACATTGAACCAAATGAGGTAAGAACCGTAGCTGAAACCTGCGTAAAAGATGACGGGCCAGCTCAGGTACATTAGACTACGTTTTGCGCGTTCAAAGACGTTTGATCCTGGAGACGGTTGCCAGATTGATAGCTTTTGCGTAAAAGTCTTTGTCGATACTCGCATATCATCGCTTGTGGTGGACTGCGAAGTCGTCGTGTCGGCCTTCTCTTGATCAACTACCTTCGATGGGTCTCTCTGCGGAGACTCAGCTGCGACAGCGACTCCTTCGATTTTGCGTGTATAGTTAGTCTCCTCCATAAAGAGAAACATGAAGAACAGTGAAACAGTTAAGAAAATGGCGGGCCAGTAAAATACCCACTGCCAACCTTGGCCTTCCGCGATGAAGCCAGAGATGATGGGAGCAAAGTAATTACTGCCGGCCAATGAGAACGCGTAGAACCCCATGTATTTCCCACGCTGATGGGTGAAGTATACATCGGTTACAGAGATCTCAGGTAAAGCTTCTACTGGGGCGACGAAGAAGCCCATGACGATACATCGAGCTATCCACTCGCCATTGCTCTTGACATACGCACTTCCAAGGTTAGTTTGAGAGTATGCCACTGTAGAAGCATCCGCACTCACCTCCAGATACTGCATCCAATGGCACCGACGACCGATATGAGGAATGTGAGACGTTTGCCGTATCGCAGTGCGAAAGGTTGCCAAAAGAGAAGACCCCAACCGAGGAACAGAAACATGTATCCAGTGCCCTCGTTCAGCGTCGACACAGATACGCCCGAGGCTTCCGATAGCGGCACTAAGACGGAGTATACTGTCGACACGGCGATACCAGTCATCCAGGTATAACTTCATGGCTCATTAGTCTCATATATAGTGCGTGATAGTTCCACGTACAGATTGGTACATATCGTTGATGTGAGCTTGCGGCGTGGAGACCAATTGAGCGGATCATCAGGATCACTAGATGGTGCTGGATTCAGGATAATGTCCCCGTTGCCTGCATGTCGAGCTTGAATGCTATGGTCCAAATCGACCAGATGCACAGTACCCGGCACGGGGGCTGTGTTGGCGGAGTCTGCGCCAACGGTCATCGTGATAGTCGACTGCTAAATAGGTAGACGTAGACTTCAGCTGCTGATGCGGGTATATTTTGAATACTGAGCTTCTGGAACTGGTTGTACCAAGAGTAGACAACAAGAGTGGGGTGGCATGCAGGTGAGACCCCAAAGAACATAGGTACCCTGCGTCATTCCAGTTTGGAGCTCGTCGTGGAGCCTACATGTTCGTTATCACCTTTCCTCGTCTCCAAATCCTTGCCCCCAGGGTATATGATAGCAAGCCATGGATATGGCCACCCGCATGTCTCTCCTGGGCTGCCCATCTCCGTGTGTATCTACCGGCTTCCGCAACTAAGCAGGTCCATGCGAAGGGATCAAGAGTCGAGATACCGGACCCAAAGCGGGGAAACGTTCGCCTGATAGGCAGTGGAGGCGCTGTGTTCATTGGAAGATAGCCGGGAAGTTGGAGTTGTTGGAGCTGTATGTGGAAAGGAGTTGCTCGCTAGCTGACGCGGGACAATGTGGGATGACGCGCTAAGGGCCGTTCGTCGGCATCTATTCCGCTCCTCAACACCAACCACACGCCTTATCGGCTTTATTACCATACGATAATCGACCGTCGTATACCAGTACGGAACTTTTCCGGTCACCACGTTTACGGGATGTCTCTCAGCGCCACGAATGCTAGGGTATCTTGTCTTGGGTCTAGCCTCGACAATGACGATGCAGGTGGAGATAAGACCGCGATGGTGGTTCACACGATTGAAGACGCTTGAACACCCAGGCTACTCACATCTTTCAATCATCCACACTAAACCAGAATGGCCAGTCATCCTTCCGAGCTCGCCATAGTTCAACCCAAGGCCGTGCCTCAAGGTACAGCCGATTACGAGAAGAAGCGAGCCTCGATCCTTGAAGCCTTCGCGCAAAAGGTGCCTCCTGAACTACGCTTGTCGCCAAACATATTTGCCAGTCCACCGAAAGATGTGTCGGATATACCAGTGACCTGCGGCATACTCACATCCGCTGAGATCGAGATCACCGAAAAGTACGATGCAGTAGGCCTTGCCGAAGCCATCGCCGCACGCAAGCTATCGGCGGTCGAAGTAGCCACTGCATTTTCGAAACGCGCTATTATAGGACACCAGTTGACATGCTGTTTAACCCAGTGGTTCATGGACGACGCTATCAAGAGGGCGCAAGAGCTGGACGACTACATGCTAAAGAACGGCAAGACGATTGGCCCGCTCCATGGTGTTCCCATTAGCATCAAAGAGCACATGCCCATTGCTGGAACCTATTCCTCACAAGGTTCATTAGCGAGCACTGTCTTCGATGAGAAAGATTGCCTGTTGGTGTCAATGTTGAGAAGTATGGGCGCGGTATTCTATTGCAAAACCAATCAGCCTCAAACGATCATGCATCTGGAGTCGACATCTCACTACGGCCGGACGCTGAACCCTTTTAACATCAATCTTAGTGCTGGTGGCTCATCTGGTGGAGAAGCTGCGCTGGTAGCCATGAAAGGATCAGTGCTTGGCGTCGGCACAGATATCGGCGGCAGTATAAGAGGTCCTGCGGCATTTTGCGGCGTCTACGGATACAAGTCGACTTCATACATGCTGCCAATGAAGGACTTCATTGCTCATGCATTTTCGGCAGAGCTCAACATCTTGTGTAGCACCGGCCCATTCTGTCGGAGCTTGCGCGACATGGATCTTTTCATGACGACCGTTCTGGACCAGAAACCGTACTTACTGGATCCAAAGGTAGTTCCGCTTCCTTGGACAGGCTTCAATACCACTACGAAGAAGCCTTTGAGGGTTGGTATCATCGAGAACGACGGGTTTATTGACCCTCAGCCACCGGTCAAGCGCGCTATAACATGGGCCCGTGAGCGTCTCTCGGATCCTCGGTACTCAGACACTATTCAAGTGAAGCCGTTCACGCCTTACAAGGCACAAGAAGCATGGAAGCTGATCCGCCGCATGTACTGGCCAGGCGGTGGCAAACTAGCGAAGGAAGATGTCATGTCCACAGGCGAGCCAGTATTACCTCTGAGCGACTGGAATTGGAAAGATGTAGAGCCTGTCGGGATGCTGCATGCTGAAGAAGTTAATGAGCTTCGCGCCACTCGCGACAAATTCCGTTATGAATTTGCAGACAGCTGGAATGAACAGGAAGTTGACATCGTCATTGGGCCTGCGTTTGTTGGCCCGGCCTCTAGGCATGACACGGCGTTTTATTGGACATATACAAGTCTGTATAACTTTGTTGACTATCCCGGGGTGGTTGTACCTACACCGATCAAAGCAGGGGGCAAAGAAGAATATGCCGCAGGGTACCAGCCATTGAGCGACGAGTGCAGGCACACCAAAGAGCTATGGGAGAGCTCGGATTTCGAAGGAGCGCCGATCAATTTGCAAGTGAATGCAAGAAGGTATCACGATAACGGCTTGTTTGGGGCATTGAAGGTCTTGAAGGATGTCTTGGATCTGCCGTAGTATTAGGCCTGTAGCTTTAAACATAGCGCGCTCCTGTACAACACACACATGTACTGCCAGGATTATGGCTATCCCAGTGACTGTTTTTATTTGTCCTTATGGTCAAAGCACTGATTAAGTCAAAAGCGCTGTGTGCATAGCAGTAGTGATCACATCAAACGCGTTTGATGGAAGCTGTGATGCAGGAACAACCGAGGTGGCTGCAAGCGGATGGCAGTGTGCAGGGATGTTGCGCGGAAGGTGCGCTGCTCACACGTCAACACCACCACTCACGAGCGCAATACCCACTTTCCCACCTAGACAAATCGCCCTTCTCAAGATGTCGCATTCATAGCACACATCTGCGCTCTCGCCGCGCATTATGGATCACGCCCACATTTCAGAGCTCAGTCCAGAGCTGGGCGCGATCGAATCGAAGCAGTTCCGAGCAACCGTCACGTTAATATGGCCATATTCGTCATCGACGCGACAATTTGCGCTGCTGCTCGCTGAGCCCGAACTCCGACTACGGCGCAAGAACGGACAAGTTAGAGCGCGCTTTTCTGGCGCCAGCGCGAAGGCCATTGCGACAGCAGGCGTGGGCATTGGCGATGAGGTGGTTCTGAGCCTACGAGGCGCCGAGTTTGTTAAGGAAGGCGCCGTCAGCACACCAGGCAAGAGCATTGAGTGGGAGCTATCATACACACAGACAGTAGTGATCCGGGTCTATCGAAGTGGCAGCGAAACAGCAAGTCTCGAACTCGTCGATGCCGCACCCACGCCTGCGCCCGGGTCGCCTGTCCGCCCAGCAGCCCTGACGCCCGCGCGCGAATTCTCCTCCCCTGCCTTCTTCAAGCGGGCGCGATTGTCCGACGGGCCCTCCTTCCAAGTACCCTACGATCCCTTGGCGGACGAGACGGAAGACGGCAATGACCGAAAGCGACACAGGAAGTCATACGGGGACTGGAAGGCGTGGACGTACAGCGCGAGGACACCATCGCCAGAGAAGGAGGACGCGAACATGGACGAAGAGCTCGAGTCTGTTGAAGTGTCCCCTAGTCGCGCAGGGCAACTTCCACGCACCCCCGTTTCGCCTCAACGAAGAGCCGGACCTCTGCCCGTTCAGGAAGACGAAGATACGGAGCCTAATACACCAACTGACGAGGGCGCAGGGGTAGTGGGCGAGTCGCCTGCAGGGCCAACAAAGAACGCCGACTCCTACGATCTCTACACCGGGCCCGACGAACATCTACCATCAGATGCACAATATGCTTTTGGAGGCGACACCGAGATTGACACCGAAGTCAATACCGAGGAAGAAGGCAACACGCGTGATGAGCTCAATGCTACCAGCACGAGCACCACCGAGGCAGATGTCGAAGAGCAAGAAGACGGACCACTTGAGCGCGTCCAAGCGCATGTGGTTGATATGCAGGCGGTCACAGGAAAGGACAAGATGAGTTCGACTCACGAAGCAAGCTCAGAATTCGTAGAATCACATCTGGGGACTGAACCTGTGCCCGCCGTCGGGGCTGACAATCACACCAACAACGAGCTTACGATTGCTATGCCTCCCCCCGCCTTCCCGTCGGTCGCTGCAGGCTTGTTGACACCCATCGGTCGAGAGCCTGCAAGTCCCACCCTTGCTCCACAAGACGCTTCCAACCTTCCATTGCCGTCACCGTTTCCAGGGGAGCATGATGCTGATGCTGCGTCTTACTTTGGCGTTGCTACTACTACCGAACAGCCGGTAGAAGCCGATGCTACGGAAGACAAAGAAGAAGATCCGCCAAGTGAAGCGAGCTATATCGGCGAGACGTCCTTCTTCAGTTCAATAGGCTCATCGAGAGCTTCGGTGTTCCACCCGAACCACGAGTCGGCCTTCACGCCTGTGCGATTCACATTCGGTATGGACGGTGCTGGCTATTCTCGCCCAATGGAGCTATCGTCGCCTCCACCAGAAGCTCGGCCAGTCGAGGAGAAGGCTGAGAATATCGACATTCCAAACTCGCCCGCCGCTCGCGAACATAGCGATGACGATGCGGAAGCAGAACATATTTCTCAGTCGCGCCCGAGCACACCGCAGAGTGATGATACAGATGAGGAGGTTGAAAATCTAATTACTGCAAATCCAGAAATGGTTAGAGACGAAACGGTCGAGCCAGAAGTCGTAGAACTCTCCTCGGAGGACGAAGAAGAAGCCTTGAGTGAGATCGAGCCGGATTCAATGGCAGTAGACTCTACGATGCAGCCCAACACTTCTCAACAGCCTGAAGAAGACTCCAATGTTTCGGATGACATGCAATCTGTGACTGGAAGCCTCGAGGACACCCGTGGCCAAGCACTACATACAGACACACAACGTTCCACGGCTACGTCAGCCATCGTTGACTTAGGCTCCCCTCCAGACGATAACAGCGAGATCGACACCAGGCATGATCAGCAGCAGCCTAGCTCTAGTCGAAGACAGTCTCCTTCTCACGACCGGTTCCCAGCCATGGATCTTGGTAATCATAGTGAGTTTGTAAACCTGGATTTTGCGACCGCGGACGCACATGCTCTTGATAGATCAGAGGGGCGAACAGTTACTCACACTAAATCCCAGGAACCGGAGCCTGAGGTTGTACCACGCCCAATGGAGGAACCGTTTTCACCTGTCGGCGATCTGCCAGAATCGACCTTGGAGGCTACTGACGACTACTTGCAAGACGCATTTCCGATGGAGCACGCATCATTCGGGCAGGAACATGACCAGATAGCTACCTTTGAAGATGACCGTCAATCAGATGTCCACATGGAAACAATAGAAGAGGCCGCCGTATTCCAGCCAGACGAATTCAATGACCATTTAGCGCCTGTCAATACCGCCCAGACAGCTAATGAGCCTGTAAGCCAACATCCTGGCATCGAACCTGAGGATGCCCACCAGACCGAAAGCATGAGTCTTGTGCTTGAGCCGCCTGCCAGGAATACCAGGTCAAAAGCAAAGGCATCAGCGCCCCTGAAGAAAGAAGATGCTGCTGTCCCTGAAGTCAACAAACGGTCCAAAAGATCTGTGATTTCTCGTGCTCGTTCAGCCGTTTCACCACCCAGAACACGCACTCATTCTGCCCTCTCTCCTTCACAGGAATCCATACAGACGTCTCCTTATAGTCTTCGCTCGCAATCGAGATTGTCGCCAATGGAAAGCTTGTCAACCGGTGCTAGCATCGCTCGTCAAGGAGGCTCGCGTAGACATGCTTCACAAAGAAGCGTAGACTCCATTCCTGATATTGAAGTATCCCAAACGCAGGAGTATGACCGCATTGTTTCGAGCTTCCAGCCGTCGCAGGAGTTGGGTGCCTCGCAAGGCAGATATTCCGATGTCGTTTCCGTCAAAGACTCTGAAGAAGAGAGCGCACGCTCTGAGCATTCAATGTCTACTGTGCATCCCTCAGACATGGAGTATATGCATCACAGCGACCCTGTCGGCCGTGCTAATGCTTTTGATGATAAGAATGATGAAGGCTCTAAGCCGCCGTCAGCAACTGCACCAGAGTTACGGCCTTCAAGGCAGAAAGCCAGAGGGAAGAAGAACGCGCAGCAAATTGTGGAGATCAGGAGTAGTAGTCCTGCTCAGCCTGAACCTTCGTACGTTACACAGTCGTTGATCAGCAGTCCAGGCACGCAAAGACATGCAACGCGGTCAAAAGACATAATGACTCCTAGCCCGCGTAACGTACGAAGAACGAGGAGAAAAGTATATGATCTTCCGGGTGGAGGTAGCCAAGACGTCGGTGATATCGACGAGCTCATGCGCAGCTCACCACCAGTTTCACCTAAGGTTGACCAACGAACGAGACAACAGGGTAAAAGGCCCATCACCCCGGTTGCAAGCCAGCAGACTGCCATGGTGTCGCAACCCACCATCAACGCCCACCATGAACAAAATACGCTTTTGACGCCTCAGCTCACGCAAACCACATCTGCAGGTCTGTGCTCCTTCCAAGCCGACACCGAGGTCGACATGGAAGCCGTGACTGCCTCATCAGAGCCCAAGACAACACCAAGTCGCAAACACAGGTCGACTGACGTAACAACCATCCCCGCATCTCCAACCTTGATTGATCCATCGTCCGAGGACGCCAACACGAATACGCCTGAACCACCCTCGGTCGGCCTTTCCACCCCACTAGCTTATTATACTCCTCTAAAGGACCTCATTTACTTCCTCAACCGCTCCTCTGATTTCCACTCGGCTGCCAATCCCGACATACTTGCCCTGGTCACCTCTCCTACTACTCCAAGCGAGAAAGCCAAAAAGGGACCAAAACACTGGTTCACCAGTGTGCAGATAACGGATTCTAGCTCCTGGCCCGAGACGACAACGGTACAGATCTTCCGCGCTTATCAGAACGCACTTCCAGAGGCGCAGGTTGGCGATGTGATCTTACTACGCGCATTCGCTGTGAAGTCGTTGAATCGGCATCCCATGCTTATAAGCGCAGATGAGAGTGCATGGTGCGTATGGCGGTGGGGAAAACCTGTCTGGGGTGCGAAAAGAGGTGTGTTTGGTGAATTGAGAGCAAGAGAAGAGACGAGAGGGCCGGCTGTTGAGAAGGGTGCAGGGGAGTGGCGCGAAGTAGAGAAGTTAAGAGGTTGGTTCATCGCGAAGGTGGAGACGGAGCTGGCGGAGAAAGAGGAGGCGAGGGTTCGGACGAGGAGTAAGGATAAGGGGAAGGAGCCGGCGGATGTAGATGCATGAGAACTGTGGGCTTTTGCGCGGCGTTGAGCAACGTCTCAAGGATGGTATGGTCATGGTACCGGCGCATGTATAGGGTACACTGGGTGCATCACGTCCACGTTCTGGGGGACCATGTTAGCATGCTCAATACTGCATCGCTTTGCAAGTCATCAAAGCATTTAGAGATCATTCATGTGTCTCATTGGTTTCTACCATATTCCTTTCATGCGATCGTATCTTCATAGCCCACACCTAAACCCTGAAGTCTAGAGCCAGCTTTTCGCCTAAAGCGTCTGTGACTACTAGGCCAGTTGTAAACCAGCTTTCCGCCACAGAAGCTTGTAGCTACTAAGCTCGCTCCATTCTCTCGTAGTCTGACTGTGTGAAACGTCTATTTCTCGTAAACCCAGTCGTGCTGAGCGGACTTCCAGCTCTGGACCTCACCCTCCTTGAACCAGAGAGCGATCTCCTTCTTGCCGTTCTCGACGCTGTCGGAGCCGTGGCAGACGTTGCGGCCAACGTCGAGGGCGAAGTCACCACGGATGGTGCCGGGGGCGGAGGCGAGGGGGTTGGTGGCACCGAGGATGGAGCGGCCGGTCTTGACGGCGTCACGGCCCTCCCAGACCATGGCGCAGACGGGGCCGGATCCCATGTCTAGATAGTGTTAGCGGTAGAGCTGGGTGTATTCCGTTCAATATGGCCAACGTACAGGCAATTAGACCGGGGAAGAAGGGCTTGTCGCTCAAGTCGGCGTAGTGCTTCTCGAGGTGCTCCTTGGAGGGAGTGACGAGCTTGATGGCGGCGAGCTTGAAGCCACGGTTCTCGAAGCGGGTGATGATGGGACCGATGAGGCCACGCTGTTGGGCATTTGTTAGTATATGTGCTTTTTATCTTTTGTTGAGAACCCCGCTGTCTCAGTTGTAACAGCAGAACCAGTGCAACAATTGATCCGCTGTTGACAGCCTGAATAGTACGAATTTCAAGAAATAGAAAAAATACATACCTGAACACCGTCAGGCTTGATAGCGATGAAGCTATTCATCTGTCAGTATACCGTTCACCGCCCTTCGGCTGCCCCTCGTCTTGGGATCAGGATGCCCAACGTACGTCTGCTCGGTAGTCATTTTGGCGATGAATTGACGTTTGAGTTTTTGTGTAAAAGTGATTTGTCTTTACGACTTGATGAGAGGAATTGAGAAGGAGAGACGGACGTGTAGCTGGAATTTTATGAAGGGGGTGGGGTATGGACGCCCTCGTTGTTGTCTAGTGGGGTAGCTTGCATAAAATTATGCCCGATTTGTGCAAGAGAGCTGGACCCTGACCTTGGCGCTGCTTCAAAGTCCACATGGCATCTCGAGCGTTGGGGACTGGCTGATTGCTTGATTGACTGATGATATTCCAGGCTGGCTTCTGTGTGTTAGAGAGCTGCCTGTCATGATTACTTTACGGAAGCAGCCTCCCCGGTGGACGGCTGTGCTTTTGGTGTTGGCGCTGTTGGCTTGCCTGTTCGTGCCAGCTGGTATGTAGCTAAGCTCACTCCCGATATCTCCAGCCCACGATGACATACCTACGAAGCTACGAGGAGGTTACTAAAAGATATCAGTGTCGGTCAAGCACGAGAACTTCAAAACATGCAGTCAATCGGGCTTCTGCAAGCGCAACCGCCAGTTCGCCGATGACGTCTCCGCCTCGAGCTCCTGGACCTCGCCCTACGTTCTCGACCCTGCCTCAATCACATTCAAGGATGGCCAATTAGATGCTGTCGTGCTCAAAACACTGAAGGAAGGCGAAGAGAAAGCTCGCTTGCCGCTTACTGTCACATTCCTGGAATCGGGCGTAGCACGCGTTACTCTTGACGAAGAGAAGAGGGCCAAGGGTGACATCCAATTACGCCACGACAGTCAAGCACGGAAGGAGCGATACAACGAGGCGGCACAATGGACGCTTGTTGGAGGGCTAGACCCGTCCAAGGGCGCTGCTTTCAACCCTGAGACGGAAGAAGGCTACACCAAGGTTGTCTACGGCAAGGGCAGCAAGCACCAAGCCGTCATCCGTCACACGCCTTTCGGCATCGAATTCCAACGCGATGGTGAGACGCAAGTCAAGTTCAATGAGCGCGGCTACATGAACGTCGAACACTGGCGACCCAAGGTTGAGAAGCCCCAGGAAGAAAAGAAGGAGGGCGAGGAAGAAGTCAAGGAGGAAGAGAAGAAGACAGAAGCACCTGTCGAAGACGAAAGCACGTGGTGGGACGAGAGCTTTGGTGGCAACACAGACAGCAAGCCGAGAGGCCCTGAAGCTGTTGCGCTAGACATTACATTCCCTGGATACGCGCACGTCTTTGGTATCCCAGAGCACGCGACAAGGCTATCTCTGAAGACCACCAGGTGCGCAGTATCCACACACACACACATATACCTACTTAGCTGACAATCTCTAGGGGCGGCGATAATGCCTACACTGAGCCATACCGACTATACAATGCCGACGTCTTCGAGTACGAGATGGATAGTCCCATGACCCTCTATGGCGCCATCCCATTCATGCAAGCCCATCGCAAGGGTTCCACTGTCGGTGTCTTTTGGCTCAACGGTGCCGAGACCTGGATCGATGTGACAAAGAAGAGGAACACGGCCAACCCGCTCGCTCTTGGTGTTGAGGGTCATACCGATACTGAGACGCATTGGATGTCTGAGAGTGGTCTGTTGGACGTCTTCGTCTTCCTCGGACCAACTCCTCAAGACCTCACTCGCCAGTATGGTGAGCTGACTGGCTACACAGCTATGCCCCAGTCCTTCGCTATCGCCTACCACCAGTGTCGATGGAACTACGTCACCGATGAGGATGTCAAGGACGTCGACCGCAGGTTTGACAAATTCAACATCCCGTACGATGTTATCTGGCTTGACATTGAATACACACAGGAGAAGAAGTACTTCACCTGGGATCCTCTGACCTTCGCCAACCCCGAAGGCATGCAGCAGCAGCTCGACAAGCGTGACAGGAAGCTTGTTGCGATTATCGACCCTCATATCAAGAATACAAACGATTACCCGATCATCGACGAGCTGAGGAAGAAGGATCTCGCCGTCAAGAACAAGGAAGGCAAGCAGTACGAGGGCTGGTGCTGGCCCGGCTCGTCTATGTGGATTGACTGCTTCAACCCGGCTGCCATTGACTGGTGGAAGGGCTTGTTCAACTACGACAAGTTCAAGGGCACTGCCCACAACACCTTCATTTGGAACGACATGAACGAGCCCTCGGTGTTCAACGGCCCTGAGACAACTATGCCCAAGGACAACTTGCATCACGGTAACTGGGAGCATCGCGATGTTCATAACATCAACGGTATGACTTTCCACAATGCGACATACCAAGCCATCACGGAGCGTAAGAAGGGTGAGATTCGCCGTCCCTTCGTGCTTACCCGAGCCTTCTACTCCGGCAGTCAGCGCACTGCTGCTATGTGGACTGGCGACAACCAGGCTGAGTGGAGTCATCTTGAGGCTTCCATACCCATGGTCCTCAACCAGGGTATCTCTGGCTTCCCCTTCGGTGGTGCGGATGTTGGAGGTTTCTTCGGTAACCCAAGCAAAGAACTTCTGACTCGCTGGTATCAGGCTGGTATCTATTACCCATTCTTCCGCGGCCACGCTCATATCGACACTCGTCGCCGGGAGCCATACGTCGCTGGCTCTCCGTACACGGAGATCATCACTCAAGCCCTTCGTCTTCGTTACCAGCTCCTACCTGCCTGGTACACTGCCTTCCACGAGGCTCACACCACCGGTGCCCCTATCATCCGACCCAACTTCTGGGTCCACCCTGCTGACGAGCGTGGTTTCGAAGTCGACGACCAACTGTACATTGGTTCCACTGGTCTTCTCGCAAAGCCAGTTACAAAGGAGGGTGCTGACAGTGTCTCTATCTATCTCGCGGACGACCAGCCCTACTACGACTACTTTGAATTCACCACTTACAGCGGCGCTGGACACCACACTGTACCAGCTCCTCTCGAAAAGATTCCCCTTCTCATGCAGGGTGGCCACGTCATCCCACGCCGCGACCGTCCCCGTCGTTCCTCTGGACTCATGAAGTACGACCCCTTCACTCTAGTCATCGCTCTCGACAAAGACGGCAACGCTGCCGGTACTCTGTACGTTGACGATGGCGAGACCTTTGACTACGAAATGGGTGCCTTCATCCACCGCCGCTTCTCCTTCGATGGCACCCGCCAGATCCTTACTTCCTCAAACCTCGACTCCAACAAACGCACTGTCAAATGTGAGAAGTACCTCAAAACCATGGAGAAAGTGCGCGTCGAGAAGATCATCATCGTCGGCGCGCCCAAGGCTTGGAAAGACAAGTCTGAGGTCGTCGTCATGCAAGAAGGTGAGAAGGAGACGCAGAGGAAAAAGCCTGTGCCACTTGAGTTCCATGCTGCCGAGGGTAAGAAGGCTGCGTATGCGGTAGTGAGGGATCCGCGGGTGTTCATTACCAGAGGGTGGAAGATCGATTTCGCAGAGAAGGGTGCTGGGCACGAGCATCATGGTCATGAACATTAAGCTTTGAGGTGTCTAGATGCATGAAAAGCACGCACTGTAATAGGGAAAGGATCGTGGAATCGCTCACCAATGGAGAGTTTGTCACCAATGGCATTGGCATGGACAAATTCAAGATAGTTGGACAATTAAAACGAGCCAGAAGAACCCATGTAGTCAAGTCTATAATGTTGCAATGCTTGAGGCGACAGTAGCATCTTAACGCCTAGCGACATTGACGCGCTGCTGTGTAAGATCAACAAGCCTATTCCCCATGGCGACGAACATCGGAAGCTTTCTCTTTCGATCGTCATCTTCGCATGCCTCTTCATATATGACCTTCGGCGACATGTTGTGCATTGTGCAGTCCCGACGATGTGACGTCAAAGTGAACGAAATCATCGGTCATCGCTGACGACCACACAACGTCGCAACGCGAGCGCCAGGTGCAAATTAAAACAGCAACGATGGTTCTAGTCCTTCATTTCCCAGTTTCAAATCACCTCGGGTGACCTTTACTGCCTTTTTGTCGCCATCCACAGCATAATCGCAATGCCTCAATACCACACCGCAACCGGAACGGTCTCGTATCCAGATGCAAAATCGAGCTTTCCCAGATTTCCCCAAGTTGGATTCGGTCGCGCGGTCGCTATCGGTATCGGAGCCGGCTTCGTGGGTGCCTTAGTGTAAGACAATCGCTATTTGATCTTCTATCTGCGAATGCCTGACTTTCTCCAGCATGTCAGGATCAAACAAAGTCGAACAGCTCTTCACAGGCCGTCCAGATTCCTACGTGCCCGCACGAACGATGGGCAACCACTTGGGTGTCTCACCAGAATTTTACCAGCGCCACACCTTCCTGTTGAATCATGCTCATCACTTCGGTATGGGCATGCTTGCTGGGCCTTTCAGAGCGGTCATGTCGTACTACGGCGTCATCGGACCGGTCGCTGTCTTCATGCATACCGGCATTCGAATCATGCTGGATCAATTGATGGAGACCACGGCGAATGTTTCGATGGCTCCGTGGACATGGCCGATCAACGAACAAGTCATCGACATTTTGCATAAAGGGACATATGCGCTTGTCACTGGTTATATATGCGATAAGATGGTAAGAGGTGTTGACTGGTTTAATAGCTGAGTTATGCTACCCTTCCGTTACCACTGCGTACCTCTGTCGTCCAGGATTGTCTGGTACCCAGATGCTTCGAGAGATGACTGGAAACTTCATCATCTTGGTGTACTGTAGTCTTGACGATAATGCGTCTAGAGTTTCCTGCGAGTTCTTCCTGGCTACTGTGCGTGTCATCCCAGTATATATCCGCGGCGTCACGTGTGGCTCGACCTGGGGCGCAAATTATGCTCTTCATCTTTATCTCATCAGTCCCTTGTTTGAAGTAGCCTTGTGCATTGTACGATGGTTTCGAAGCATCTATACGCTTTCGAATGAAAGACGTGAACGCAGGCGAACATGCGATCATAATGGCTATGAACTCTGTCAATTCTGTCTTGAACCTCATGGACGTACCGGCGAACATACCTATTGAACATTCCAGTATGGTCCACAGCATCAACCACTTGGGTTCTGGTGTTGTAGCCTTCCCACTACCATCAACGCCAACTTGCAAGCACCGTAAAGTTGCAAAGGCGATGCAGACGAAACCGCTGCCGAACAATATGAAGATGCCGATCTTTTGCTTGCGAGGCATCTGGAGGTTCCAGGTCAGATGTAATGGTAGAAACATGACTACATGGATCAGTACACCCCGCTGACAATACGCTAGTGACTCAACTTACTTGCAAGATCAGTCGCCACGTCGACGGAGTATGCAAAGTAGAGACTGAATATGACTCTACGGTCTTCATCAGGAGTTCCTCCACATTGGCCTTCTCTGAACTCGGCGTTCAGGTCGTCGCATGTAGTAAAAGTGCTAGTGATACTACCAATCCACGCCTAGAGGTCTGTCAACTCAAAAACCCGGATAAGTCTCGCTTTGCACACTTACCAACGCGCAAAAAGCGACCATGCCCCACCATATCTTCCTGTAGATGCTCGGTAGTCCGGCGAGCAGCTTCCGATATAATGTCATTAATGACATCTTGACCGAGATAAGAAGTGTGTAGAAGCAGATTTGACCGGCCACGAGAAACTTCAGCATTGCGATAGCATCACTTTTCATCGTGGCGTACGGCTCAGCCTGTCCCTCCAATACTGCATACGCTCTGTATATCGGTGGCGCAACGACGTGGTAGCAAGCCCATAGCGCGATGAACAAGCAATACGCAAAATAGACAAAGAAGTCTGGCAGTTCGAATGGTTTGCGTTTGGCGATTTGAAGTACGGCGCGAGCAAAGACAAATCCGGAGGTCAGGACGAGCATGACGACGTTCGTCCGTAGAAGAACATCCTTGGAAACTGGAGCCTTCGAAGCCTCGTACATAATGAGGTGGAGAGTGAGATCAAATGATAACGTGAGCGACACAGTGTGAAGAAGGGGCTTAAGACGTCTTGTGATCAGGATGGCGGAAGCCTGGGTATGGGTGACATATCTCAAGAGCCTCCGCAAACAATACCACGGACCTCACGAACCGTGTCTGTCATCCATAACGGGTACTTCATCTAGAGACACCCTGTCGTCACTAACACCTATGAATCTCTCTGTTCGTGTTTGATGACAGTGGGAAGGGAATCATCATGCACGTCTACGGCAAAGTGTGATATGAAAGAAGGATTGCAGGGCACTCCAGCGAATACCTGACCGATAGAAAAATAAAACAGGCTTGATCCTGTATCCCAGGTCTTTGGAACCGATTAAAACTGTACGGCGAATAGGTACAGTGCAGGTCGCCAGCTTTCGCACTAATTGTGCAGCGAACATAAAGACGCAGAATTCTAGAACCAAGCCAGCTACCATTGCGAATCAGCAGCAAGAGTTACTTACGGGATATGTCCGATGAAGGATCCCGCAACCGTCCCTTTGGGTCTCATGGGATACATCCTACTGGTCACTCAGCGGCCAGGGGTTGGGTGGCACAGTGAAGCGCTGCAGGCCGCGAGGTAGGAACGCATTCCTTGTAGGTGCAGATATTCTAACAAAGTTTTCTGGTGAACGCAGTGCCGGCTAATGCGGGTGGCAAGATGGATGAGCACGACGATATGGCTAAGCGTCTTTGCAACATTGCTGGTTGGCATATACGAAAGGCGTTTCGGGAAGATCACGGATGAAGGCACAACGGCCCGCTCAAAGCCGGTGGACGAGCGACACGATAGGAAGTTTTCCAGAGTCAATAGGGAGCACTCCGTAGTGGCTTGGCGTTCAGGGACTCCGCTACCTGGGAGTGGGTACCTCGGCAACACTACCATCTCATCTACACCAACAGTCTACCGTCGCGTCCCATACATACTGCGGCATGGTTACTCGCGATTAGCGCATGATCCTCCGTCCTACCTTTCTCAACAAGCCGTCTTAGGCCACCAGCAACTCCGAGGCGATCGAACAGTAGTGTATGCAAGGGATCTGCCGCCGCAATATAAACACTGTCAGGGATACCTACTTCCAGGTGGCGCGCGTTGTTTAGTTGACCAAAGCTCGTCTTTCGCCGCCGCGTGGCATCTCGAACCCCTCATGTGACCCTAGCCGCTCCCACTGGCTGAACTTTCAATGCGGCAACAAGAGCGCAAGCGAGATAAAAATCGCATACTCATACCAATCGTCGCTTGATAAAGATCTGCCAAACGCAATAGAATAAATTAGGCTAAACCTACGCTTCATCACATCCGGTTTCCTGGAGTCACGCCCAAGTTTCTTCTTCCTTCCCACTGCACCCAAGATGCGATCCTTCATTCCCCTTGGCGCCTTCGTGGCATCTGTTACAGCTCAGACTGGGGCTTTCGAACCCGCAGACTTCAACGTGACTGAAGCTTTGATCGCCAATGGTGTCAATGTCTCCGCCATTCCTCAGCTCTCAGGCTTGGTGGAACGGACCGCACTCAGTGGCTGCTCGATAGCTGTACGTCTCATCATTTATCTCCCCATTTCATTCCCAAAACGCTGACAAGTACGCAGTGCTCTTCGTTGAAGCTCATCTATGGCAGTGGAAAGCTCGTATCCGAACAGACTTCAGCCTACGACGCTTTCACGGGCACATACTGGGCTGCTCAACAGGGCGCTTTAAACCCTAGGTGCATCTTCGAACCTTCAAGCACGGTCGAAGTATCTTCATTGGTCTTGATATCTCGTCTCACTCAGTGCCCTTTTGCTGTTAAGGGTGGCGGCCATGCTGCTTTTGCTGGAGCATCAAGCATCGAGGGTGGAATCACCGTCTCAATGAAGAGATTCAACACCGTTGCGGCATCCAACGATAGGAATTATGCCAATGTTGGGCCAGGTAATCTATGGGTCGATGTCTACACCAAACTTGAGAAGTCAGGCCTTGGAGTTGTTGGTGGCAGAGTGAGTCCGACCGAAGACATATCGTGTGAGCTGACTAACAACTCTCCAGATGGCCCCAGTGGGTGTTCCAGGTCTCGTATTGGGTGGCGGTATCTCCTTCTTCTCGAACAAGGTGGGATGGGCCTGCGACAACGTTGCTGCCTACGAAGTCGTCACAGCCTCTGGTCTCGTGGTAATCGCAACCCCAACGACATATCCTGACTTGTACTGGGCACTTCGGGGCGGAAGCGGTAATTTTGGCATCGTTACTAACTTCAAACTTGATGCGTTCCCACTCGGCCAAATGTGGGGTGGTCAACGCATCTTCACGGAAAACAACTTTACAGGCGTACTCGATGCTCTCTATAATTTCGCTATTACTGGATCTTCCAAGGACACTGATGCTGCTGAGATTGTTGTAAGTACCTACTAGTCTTGCAGGCGTTTTATTGACGTGTGTCTAACCCCGCGCAGTCTTTTGGTTTCAACCCAAGTATCGGGAAAATGGCGATCGTACAAACACACTACGCACGACCTGTCGCCGATCCTCCCGTATTCGCGGAGATCAGAGCCCTCTCTCCCGTGATGGATGACACAGCATTTGGCACGCTGGCCAACATGACTATGAAGATGAACGGCGGTAGTGCCGAAGAAGAGCTTGGCAACCGCCAGACTATGTGGGACGTGTCTCTCAAAGTCGACCGCGAACTCTACACCTATCTCGTCGATACCTACTACACGCTGCTTCCAGATATTCAAGACGTCGAAGGCCTTTCGCCGTATATCTCCATTCAAGCTATCACAGAAGGCCAACTCAAAGGCATGCAGAAGAATGGTGGTAATGCGCTCGGTCTTGACGCCAGCAAGGGACCCTATTTTGTCATGAACATGAGTGCCTGGTGGAACAAGGCTTCGGATGACGCTGCTGTTCTCAAGTTCTTCTCCACTGTCATGGACAAGGTCAAGGCTTATGCGAAGAGCAAAGGGTTGGACAACGACTACATCTACATGAACTACGCAAGCGAGTTTCAGAACCCTCTTGCAAGCTATGGATCGGCGAATGTAGCGAAGCTTGTTGCTGTGAGCAAGAAGTACGACCCCACTCAAGTGTTCCAGAAGCTACACCCTGGTTACTTCAAGTTGGGCCAAGGAGCGCCCAACAAGAACATGCCATGAAGCTTTTTCCGCCTGCTGCGGTGTCTTAATAGTCACAAATAAATGACAATTCTATGTCTCAACTCACCCTTTGGTTTCCTTTCAAGTGACTTGTTTCCACAATAATCACATCCACTCAAAACGCCCAGGAATCATGCTCGACCCACGCCGGTACACCTGCAGAGCATGCGCAACCAATCACACGGCCATGATCGACTCGCCACCGTCTTGCGTTATCCTTTTCCGGATGTTGACCTTAAGCAGCCGGCCCGTAGCTTTTACTAAGCTTCCGTCGTCATTTTTCGTGAGTACAGTGTTCGGGCAGTACACAAGCGCTTCTCCGGTTTCCAATCCCTCGATCCGCTGCATGAGAGCCTTGTTGTCGTCCAGGGCGCTGCTATGTCTCTTGATTGCGGCATACCAGGTAGGGCTCGTAAAGCGATGAATGACGGTGATGTTGCAAAGCGCTATAAGGTCCGTGGATACGGTCGGTTCTTGAGTAGAGATGATCATACTGGTACTCAAGTGCCGCTGCACACGGATGGTGTGGTGGAGACTATCTGCGAGAAACTTGGATCCTGGGCTATCGGACATGTACTAGCGTTTTGTTAGCAAAAGCTCACTGGCCGAGAATTTAAAGCATGTACCTTGTGCGCTTCGTCCAACACTACCATCTTACTCTTGACGGGAGACTCCAGAAAGCGGTCCAAGCCCAGCTTGAAGAGAACACAGGCTGTGCTCGATGACATGAAAGCATCGGACAGATCCATGATAATCATCTCGCCTGGAAGGAACTCTGGCTCCCCCGCCTTGCCGTCCAGATCGAGAAAGGACTCAAGCATCGCTAAACGTTGTATGAGGGCTTGCCATTGTGCATCATTTAGATCTATCCGCTGGACTTCCTTGGTGAACAACTTGTAATCGAGTGGCCCATCTTTGTTCTTAGACGACATCTTCATGAGTACCATTTCGACCTGACCCATGTAGAGTGGGGGGCTCTTATCTCCAATACCCATCAATGGACGCAAACCGGCGATGTCGATGTGAAAATCTGCGACAAAGGCGCCTTCGATGCCTTTTCTGATGAGGAGATAGCCTGCGGTTCCTCGTCCCGAGATGTCGATATGACACTTGGTGTTGCTGCACCAACAACGCTCCCCTGGTTGGACTGAGTAGTGAGGCTTTACATTACCGTTGCTTCGTCATCTTCTTGAGCAGAAACGAAACCTGATTCAGTATATTGCGAGTCATTGGACGATGAGGATGATGTCGATATAGTAGAGTTACCTTCGGCTGGTGGAGTAGCTGAGGCTGATATCTGCACATTGTTTTGAACTGCTATCGGTGGCTGTGCGCACAACTTTGAGCGTTTCTCGACATTCATGGTCTCGATACTTCTCATCTGTCAGCCTAATTACCACGTAGACCACTTCTAGGAACATACTTCGACACGACCGCAAGCGCAGTCATGGATGCAAACTCTGGTCTCATCCGTTTCAATTCCTCGATGGCAGCGTTACGATCGTGAAAACGGCCTGTAGAATCGAGCGGTGCATCCGAGCAAAGTTCCTGTGGCTGTTAAGTATGTGTAAAAAGAAAAGCGGATTCGGTAGACTAACGTTGCAAAACTCCTCACTCAAGCTAGGTTGCTGTCAGTTGTTTTGGACTTAAAGTGATGATACTATGCTAAACGCAACTTACTCTATAGGCTCGAATTTAGTTCCGAAAAGGCGCAATGGGTATCATGTCACTGACTTCTTCGTGCGGCCGCCGACATCCGCATTGTTAGAAAAAGAAAACGTCGAGGAAAACATGCCATTGTCGTTGAAAAGGCGCTTTTCGATGTCGCTTAGCATGAAATTTACAACTTTGTTCGGGTTTCCAGCGTTGGGGTGGAGAACGGGAACGAAGCCGTTATGTCAGTATTGCCTTGCACCGAGCGCACACTGAACCAGTCGCGAATGTGGGACCGCCCTCGTGTGAAGCAGGTACCGTAAGAAAGAAACAAGTGTCGGGTCCCCGAGGGAACGGTTATCAATCAACCCCTGGCGCTACCAGAAACCCTGCAATGCATCCATCCACGGATGTATGGAGAAGAATCTCATCAGCACTCTGCATCCCTCCTTGCTCTGACAGACGAACGTCTTGCCCAGCTGGCATTCTACACGATCTCTCCAATCTCTAGCACTGTTGTTGTTTTACATAGGGATATCTGGTGAGCGGCGGAGTATCGCTGTCGATGACGTCACACGAACGCGAGCCTGACACGTCAAAGAATGCAGGTGTCCACGGGTACAGCCGCCAACCAACACCCGTAGGAACTTCCTGCACATTAGCTACTCTCGACAAATTCGGGTTCCCATGGAAGTACCGCCGAGACATGGAAACTCCTAGTCGACGAACGGCATATCATGTTTGGTCCTTCTTGCAACACCGTAGGCACAGACCCACATCCAACTATTCCAGCTTCATTACGTATATCTAGCAGAACGAACTCTCTACATAGACTATATCCGGCCTTGAGATGTGTTCATATCAGAAGTGTGTTATGCTTAGGTCATCCTTAGTCAATCATTGAGATAAAGACTTTGCTTCTGGCGTAGGACCATAACGCAAAGACCCTTGCAGTACCTTGCCTGGGTCGCTCCGAAGACAGAGTAGATTTGAGGCTAACGAACAACAAGAAGAAGTTGTAAGCGCTAAGTAGCGGCAGAAATCTGTACAGCGTGCACGTATGCGAAGCAGAGGATGTGTATCAAATGACCAAGGCGCGATCAGTACGCATCTATGTATTTCCAAGGCTATATAGTAGTACTGTTCTTTACCTGTGAACAAGGCAGCCTGGCAGCTTGATTGCCCTATATCGGTCTGTCGCGGTTTTGTGTTAGATACTGGGTAGAACGCCAGTGGACAAGACGAGAGTGTTAAGAAACTCATCGAAAATTCTCGGAATCTCAAAGCTCACAAAGACTACAACAACTGGTTACAAAGACACTGGGAAAGATATCAATAAGGTGATGCAGCGTCTTCATTGTCATCTGATGTAGCCTGTACCACTATCGGACCTGAATACCACAGCTCCTCCTACCACTACTAAGTCCAATCCAATTCATACTGATCTTTATAATATAGACATATTTACTGTTCCTCCAATCTCGAAACCAACCGCCAGTCGTTTACGCGCCCTGGATGCGGCGGCAGAGAGGGCGACCCCTCTCAAGAGTGTTGGGGTCGCAGTTCAATCGGCTGTCCTCGATGCAGGTCAATTGGGCGCCGCCTATGTGATACGATTAGCCCCAAACGCTCATTTGCGGACCATGATTTATGGGTTACTTACAGTTGTTGACGCTGTCGGGAACACATCGGCCGCTTTGTCCGTTGACAGTGCATACATCCTGCTTCAAGCTGGTGTTTGCGACACAGCAAGCGCCCTCGGGAACGGGACGGTTGGCGTTGGCGCCTTGAGGCATGGCAGCCGCGAGGGCAGAGAGAGCGAGGACAATGGCGGAGGTGGTAAACTTCATTTTTGCGGTTGAGTTGGCTGGTTAGTGGTTCTGACGGTGTCGGTAATAGTGTTTATGTTAAGTGATTATTGATAATGAAGGACCGACCAGCGGAAGGAATAGAATTGAATGAAGAGCGAAGTAGAGAGTAGTAGAGAAGACTGTAGTTGAAGATGCTGATGAGGCTACTATTCGGGGCGGTAACAGGCCTCTCTTATACGCACTGCCTCAGGAAGCTCCGCAGGCGTAGATGTTGGCCTCGGCCCAGTGAAGACTTCACGATGCATTGCTCTCCCTGGCCGCAACACCCGTACTGCATCCTGCATCTGCCCCAATTCCCTCGTCCTGCGCAAAAGTTCCACCGGCAGAAAACACACGAGACAAACACAAAACAACACAATCGGTTGCGTCGGCCTGGAAAACACGGCCACACGCCTGCTTCGAGCATGGCGGAAACGGGCGCGTGAAGAGAATGGATACCTTGGCGCTCAGGCGCCCTTGAGGCGAGGCATATCACGATACGCAGATCATACAGGAACGGTCGCTTCGACCTTCTAGGCGCTTTGCGAGACGTTGGAATGATGGCGGGAGGGTAAGGAGGGATGAAACTGTCATGCTGTTTGGGTGGCTGGGATGAAACGTTAGCTTCCGTGGAGGGCGGCGAGCCACAAACGAGTCGTGACCTCCCGAGGTCGACAGTGCACTACGCCTCATGACTTGGGTGAACTTCAAGTTGATTTCTCCTGTATTTCCAGTTTCTTGCGATTTTTTTTAAAGTCGGTCTGAACGGAAAAAAGTCGCTCGTAAGTCACGGCTTGCGCAAGTGTCGTGACGGTCCAGTTGAACTTCAGAAACCCAATGCATCTTGGGAGAAAAGAAGTTCTGGTTCGATACTAGAGTTTTAAGTCGTAGTAGTGATTATGGATGTCCGTAGATTCGTATGGGCATATAGTCCTACAGCGCACATTCACTTGCTCTTCCTCATGTCAAAGGCGGTCGAAGGTAATCGCAAGAGTGTAGTCGAAAGATCTTAATACGGCTTGAACCTTGCCTTCTCCTTCTTATCCTTGCGTCTCTTCTTCGCTGATCCCGCTCCTTCATCAACATCCATGGTGCTCTCTTCTGAAGGTTTCCAAGCACGAATCTGGCCATCTTCGCCGCATGTGTATGTTGTATTTGTCTGCCATGTGTCAGCTGTAGAACGTCATGTCATGTTGTAATGAGGAGATTGTGCCTACATGAGTGTCAGTGAAGAGATCGCGGACAATCTCCTCGCTGTGGGCGCCTGGAAAGGATATGCTATTGTCGAGATCGAAGCTGTAATCCAGAGGTCCGTTGGTACCTTTGTCGATTGGTATGAGGTTGAGATGATGCTCGCTGTGACCACTTAATACTGATAATGGCTGTGGTATACACCACAGATAGAAGACATACCTATGCTTTCCTGCAGCAACACAGGCTTGTTGTTCAACCCACGCCAGATCCACTACATACTCACATCCTAATCCTTCCCTAACATCGCCCCAAACCTTCGGAGTTGGTTCTTCCTCTTCTTCTTTCTGGCTCTGTAGAGCAAAGAAACTCACCGTCTCGTCTGTGCCGATTGCATAGATGTCAGTACCGGGATACATGAAGCCTGCGTGTGCAATGGCTGATCCATGGTTCACAACTTGGTACAAGGCATCATCTTCGTCTGCCTGAGAAGTGTCGAAGATGTTGATTAGGCCGTCCGTGCTAGATGACAAGAGTAGAGTCGGGTGCGATGGATGCAAAGCAAGGTTTGTCACGGTGTCAGTATGAGACTCTACGTAGGATCGGAGAGGAGCTGCAGGGCTGCGCTGGTCCCTAGGCATATGTTAGTGATACTGATTATTCCAATAGACGAGGGCTATGGCGATGTACCATATGTAGACCGGCGAGCTGGTCGGCCCGTCTTCTGGGTTCTCAATCCCAGCGGCAACGAAGTTCTTTTCCGCGTCGCATACCAGTGCTGAGACAAGCTTGTGTGCTGTGCTGGTCGTCAGCCTTATGCCCCTCGCATCCAGTTAGGCAAGGATCTAGTTACTCACGACTTTGTATTTCTAAGACCTTCTGCTTG